TTTATTATGGCCACCTTCTATGCTCTGCGTAAGACCTATGGCTTCCTCACTCCGGACCTCTGGGCGGAGACGGAGGCGCAGCGAGACCCCACGGATGAGCACTCTGAGTTTCTCACCGCGGTGTCGAAAAAGGTCGCGGTGTGACCATCTGATGGTTTCTTTGAAATGACATAGCTAATCTGTCAAGCATTAATTCTTTCATTTTTTCACTGTAATTACCTCTGAAAGTTAGGGGGAACGGTGCAAAAGCCCTTTCCCCTTAGTATCTTCTTGAAGACATGTTGTATGCATTGCTAATTTATTTAATCTATATTTATTCTTTTTCTTTCTATTGAAAATCACATTACTTCCTATTCTACAGAGTTGTATCCAAAAATAGGTACTGTTTCTTTCCTACACAGTTATCGACTTATATTAATAATAAAATAATAATAAGGAATTTCAGCAATTTTAATTGAATATATATTGGTGTCATTTACAAAAATAAATATTTTCATATTTGTGGTGCACATGCGCTGTTTTCGTCAATCCTTTTTAGTACTTGTTACGGCAGTGCGACCACTGACCTTGACTAACCGTTTCCTTGTGTCCAATATAAATTCCACATCACAGCGATCATCAAAAGAAGTAGAATCATTTGATAAGGATAACATTCGGTCTGGCGAAGGTTCAAATGCACTTCCAGGTCTCGAGCTGGCGCGCCAAGCCGTGGGGCCTATTCAATTTTCCTCTACTAAAAATAATGAAGACGAGTCAGTGTCGTCATTTGACCCCCTAATTTACTGGCGGGAGTACTATTCTTTGGAACATGCAAAACCGTATTATCACAACATCCAAACGAACGAGACAACGTTTCAAATTCCGAAAGGATTTCCTACGCAATTTCCTCTTTATTACAGTAAAAATGGTTTCAATGTGGATGGACATGGTGTCGTGCATCATCTATCAAAGAGCACAACAACTGAGGGTAATGGTAATGGATCAAATACACAAAATGGTTCTTCAGGTTTGTCTCTGAGGCAGAAGCTCGCCGCTTACGGTGCTGGTGGTGTTTTGCTATATTTAATCATACATAATATTAGCTTTGTTGTTGTTTTCACATGCATATATTTTTTTCATATGGATCTTCCGGGGTTGGCACGTTCCTATGGTTTTAATATATCAGATAAAAAAAATGATACAGTAGAAGGCAAGAAAAACGAGAGGTCACCTTTTTTGAGAACTCTATTATTATCTATTGTGCTAAACAAGATTCTGATTCCATTTCATCTCGCTCTTACTATTGGTGCTGCACCTTTTCTAGTTCATCGCCTGGAGCCCATCGCGATGCGCTTCATTCCACGCTCCAAGTCTTTCTTTGTAATTTCAAAGAAACCAACGAGCGTTTAGAAAAGGGGGAAATAAGGTATCAGTTTTCTCAATATTATTGCTAAGTTACCACTCATCGCTGTTTCGATACCCATGGTGATATACCCAGGATCTAGGCATGTATGATGCATTTTGAAACTGCATTCTTTCCTTTATGCCTTTAATTCTAAACTGGTTTAATTATGACCAAGCTACCAGGGTGTTCGTTAGCAATCGGTTACATGTAGTATGTGCATTTATACGTTCCCATATAACTTATTAAATCCGATAATCGTTAATGAGATATGAGATCCTTACTTGAGTTTGGTGACAACAAATTTCCATTTCTTTGCTTCACACTGTTTTCTATCTTTACTTTTGCGTTTTTTTTTTGAAGTAAATCTCTTTTCCTTGGCTCAGAGAAAATGGTGCACTATTCACGTAAGCCACAGGTGTCCTCTAAGAGCGCCAAAGCCAAGATAAGTGACCTCCGTTGCCACTTCAAGAACACCTTTGAGACTGCCAACATCATCAATGGCATGCCCCTGCGTAAGGCGCAGCAGCTCTACCGCCAGGTCCTGGCCAAGACCCGCTGCATCCCCTTCAAGCGCTACAACGGCAAGATCGGCCGCACCGCCCAGGCAAAGGAGTGGGGACAGACCAAGGGCCGCTGGCCGCGCAAGTCGGTTATTGCAATGCTCTCGTTGCTCAAGAACGCCGAGGCAAATGCCATTGAAAAGGGCTTGGACCCTAACAAAATGATTATTAAGCATGTCCAGGTTGATGAGGCCGCTCGCATGCGTCGCCGCACGTTTCGTGCGCATGGTCGCATTACGCCGTACATGTGCAGCCCGTGCCACGTGCAACTTTTCATGTCTGAGAAGAAGGAACGTGTGCCGGTCCCGAAGAGTGCTCCCAAGAAGTAATAGTTCCACTGTTTACTATATAAGAGATTAAACACATTTATTTTTCGTATATTTTATTTTAAATAAAAGTCATAAGTGTGCATCATCGATTTGGATATACGTGTTTTTGATAAAAATTGATAGTGATATTTAAGATACTCAATATATATTTACCTTCTTCCCTTTTTTTTTCGTTAGGACACTTATCTATTCCATCTTGCATTAATGTTTGCATACTCATCAAAGGAGAAGGAGACATTATCGCCAACTTTTGATCATGTACGTGTGGCTATTCGCGAGTGTCAGACAAAGTACTCGGATTTCACATTTTCGCAAATAATATTACAGGCCCAAAAGGATAAGCTTACCGCTTTTCCTCCTAACGCACCTGCTGGTCTTATGTATGACTATGATTATTATTTTCCTCAAAATAGTGGCCAAGAGGCCTTTGTCGACACTATTGGTATGGAGATGGTGGAGTTAGTGATGCGAGGTTTAAGTACAAACTGTGTCATTATGGGGATGCCTGGTAGTGGAAAAAGTGATGCACTTTTGGGAAATTCCAATGAAGGAGGTATTATTCAAGAGACCGTCAGGGAATTATTTAGTCGTTTGGTGAAACAGAGCACAACCCATGAGTATGAAGTATTGATGCTGTATTGGGCAATGCATCGGGATCGCATGACCGATTGCCTTGGCAGTGAGAACATTGAGGAAAATTCTCCATGTACCTCTTGGGAAGGCACCAGCGACATGCCTGGCACTTCAGCAAATATTTTTCGTGACAACTTCGGACGACTTTACGTCGCAAATTTAAAAGCGATCAGCGTAAAATCTTACGCAGATTTTGAAATACTATTCAATGAAGCTAAGGAAAAACATACGCAAGGTCCAGGCGCAAGCATAGCTGACTGGCACAATTTTATTCAGCTTTCCATAAACACCACCGATAAAGCATGTGGTGAGAGTTCTATCCTTCGACAAATGACCTTTGTACACACCAAAGGAGCGGGATGTGTGGGCAAAATGGGTCTTCGGGGGGTTCCACTTCAAAGAGCCAGCAACATCAACGTGAGTCTATTATTACTCTATGCTGGTGTCATACATTCCTTGGAGTATCGACAGCGAAGAATACATCAAGCACGCACCCAAGAAGATTTATACAAGCTGATTATTCACAGTCAGCCTTTTTTTATGGGCTGCCGCTTCTCACAAATTATGTCACAACTTGTTAGTGGTCACGAAGCTTCTTTTGTCGTCGGATGTGTTAATTTATTATCCTACGCTGACACCGTGGAGACCTTAGAGAATCTACAGCTATTTCGAAAACTTAAGTGTGCTTGTATTCCTATCATCACGACCTCTCAAAAAGGACATCTGGTTCGTAATCTTAGAAAGTTGGAGGGTAGCATGGGTGGAATGGAGGTTGTAGATCATTTGAACTCTGCTATGGCCTTCGGTCGTCCATTGACTGAAAACGAAGAGGAATTGCTTCGTCTTCGCATCAAGCTTGACCACTGGGGTGATGCTAACTTCCTTGAACAGAATCAAGCATACTTCAAGGAAAAATACGAAGATAATCTGAAGCAGTCCAGCCGTAAGAGACTGATGAAAACAGATCCACTAGTCAGTTTTGCTACCCACGGAGACCGTAAAAAGATGTATCTGAACGCAAAGAAAACGGCTACATATGAAGGTCAGTGGGCGGATGGTCTCTTTGATGGCTTTGGTGAACACTTATATGCGAATGTCAAGTACCGTGGTGAATTTCGAAGGGGCGAGCGTGAAGGTGTGGGTACACTTTCCCTAAGCTTATTAGATAAGCAGTCCAACGTTAAGACCTATAAAAAAGTGTATGAGGGTGAGTGGCTCGCGGGCAAGCGCGATGGCATCGGGACGGAGTGGTGCAAAAATGGTGATGTTTACACAGGTGGGTTTTTAGAGGGCCTCCGTCATGGAGAAGGAAAGCTCTACCTAGCCAATGGTGACCGAATAGAAGGTAGTTTTCAGAACGGCTTAGTAGAAGGCTGGGCAGTACTGTTTACTATGAAAGGCGATTGGTTTGAAGGTTATTGGTCACAGGGTATGCGTGAGGGGCCCGGTCTGTGGCACTATGTTGATCGACAGCAGCGTCTGTACGGGGAGTGGAGCAAAAACATCTCTGTTCTTGGAACCATCGAGGACGACCCAGACAAAAAGGCTATTGGCGCGGATGGAACTCTGAGACACTTTATTCCCCCCCTTGGTATTGAATATGAGCCCATTTTAAAGAAGCAGCGAGATTTACTTAACGAATGTCGAACACGTGAGTTCAAAAGCAAGGGCCTTACGTGGATTGACTATGCAGTAGAATCTTCCTTTAACATTAATATGTAGATAATCTCCTGTAAATTCCAGCCTTTTTTTAGGAAGAGGGGACAGATACCTCAGATCGGGATTCTAGTCAAGGGAGTAGAGCAATGATATAAAAAAAATGATGGCTACCACTTATCGTTGAAAAAATGTGTATGAAGTGTTTGTTTGTGTATTATATTGCATTTTTTTTTCCATCATTTGCTTAGAAGTCTTATATACTTAAGGCATTTGATTGACGTAACTATTTATGTAAATATATGTCTCAAGTCTGTAATTAGTACAGTATTAACCACATTTTTCTCACGAAATGTCATTATATATTTTTTCTCTTTTTTTATTCATCCATCTCTCCATATATATAATACTTTTCTGATATACATGTACTACTGCTTTTTTTTGGAGAGTTTTCTTACATGATTCAACTTCGCTCACTATTTCTATCATTTTTACCACAACTATTCACCGCTTCTCATGAATTATATGATGATATATTTGCCCTTTCTAGTCAGCCCTTCTAATATCGAAAGCGTACCCACATGTAGACTCCTTGAAATACATTTTGCATTTATCCATGATGAAAACTAGAAAAAAAGTTACTCACAAGAGTGACTTGAATAAATCCCTTCACACTAACAAAAGTCGCAAGCTTGTGGAGGACTACTGGCTATCGGTGTCAAACAAGAAGTATGAACCACCACTCTATCACACTTTTTCTGACCGCTACGGTGGAACTCAAGGCATTCCCTTTGCAGCGCGCATCAATGTTAGTTCCATTTTATACTCACAAAAGTTGGACCCCAATCACAATAAGTTCTCAACTGCTAGTTTCATAGCCAAGGCAAACTTAGCTATGTGTGAGGGCAATTATGAAGAAGCGCGAAAATGTCTTCAGCACTCACTCACATTCCTCCAAAACATGGAAGGCGGTCTCACCATCAAGGACTTGACTTCGTCGCGGGTGGTCTCAGGAACGCAGACCGATTGCGCGACGGAAGTCGCTGAGGTGCTCCGGAAACTTGGGACGGTGTCATTGATCCTCGACGAGGTTGAGGGGGCATTGGAGCTTTTCAATTCAAGTCTTGATGCGAATCCCTTTATGCCGGATATCTATGTTCTGCGTGCGTCTTGCTATGAGAGGCTCGGCCAGCCACGTGCTGCCCATGAGGAATTTGAAAAATATCTGAAGCTCAAGACGCCATCTTTGGAGGTGCTTGCTCACTGTGGCAAGTGTGCATTTGAAGCCGGAATCCTCGATTCAGCCGAACATCACCTTCTTCAACTTTTAAATTTGGCGAAACCAATGCTGGGATCTTCTCAAGAGGATGAGGCCACTACTGAGATGACATCCTATTATGTTTCCCATGCCAACTTCTATCTAGGCTGCTTGTGTGAGACACGCGCTGAGGTAATTAATTCTTCTACGACAGATGCCAATGCGGTTGTTTGCCTCAACAAGAAGGCCCGTACGCACTTTGACACCGCACTCGCTAATCCCTTTTTCATCGAATCCTATGAGAGCACATTAGATTGGGCGGTAACCTCCAAGGACTATGCGTTTGCACTTCACATTTTGCATCACCTTCAGCGGATGTGGCCTGATAAAGCGGAGTACTGTTTGCGTGTTGCGCATATCTATCATTTGTGTAATAACTCAGTTGGTGAGGTTGAGGCCTTGTCTGAGGCTCTGGATCGCGCACAAGGGTTTTCGCCACGCCGTATCACTCTTCTCACACGCGGAACGGTGTATTTAGAGAAGTTAGGCAACTTTGAGCGGGCTATTAGAGATTTTACGCTTGTTATTGACCTCCCAACCGACAACCCACATGATCAATGTACCCCAAAGGCTTTTATGAAGCGGGCTGAAGCATTTCGGGTGCGCTTCGCCCATAAAAGTTCCCGCGAGGACTACGAAGCTTCCTTGCAAGACTATCGCAGTTTTTTGCAGACCTCCGGTAATTCCAATAGTGTCTGTATGGCCTCCTCGGTTAAAAAGATTGAGGGTCACAGCAGGTTCACCACTTCGGAGGTTTGTGACCCCCGCACCGTCACGGACGCTTTGCTTATTCTCGCTAACGGGACCTTTCATCGGGGTCACTTCTCGGAGGCTGTGATGTTCTTTGCGCATGCTGTCAACCGTGGCTGGTGCCCTCACCCGCCCTCTGTGTGCCACGTGGTGGGGGATGAGGCCTCAGGCGACGCTACACACTGGGTCCCTGGGGGCCCGGTTCCTATCAAGGAAAGCCTTTATTGTCAAATGTACATTGCCCTTGCCAATCATGTCATTGCGACGCATCCGATCAGCGAAGAATTATTTAAAGTGTCTTACGCACCCCGGGAATGGATGACATCTTTGGGCAACACTACCAGTGTGGATACGAAAAAGATAAAGAATGTTGAAAGAAAAGAGGCCGATCGTCCCTCATTTGCTTCGCCATTGTTGTCGTATTACCTTGTTGATTCACGCTATTGTGCACTACGGTCACTGGAGCCGACAATGTTTTCTGCATTAGAGGGAGCATTTCTTAAGATATGGGAACCTTACCGCACAGAGGTAGAGCGTGTGCGAGAGGATATGACAAATGCAAAGGGTAAAAGGTGGAAGCGCCATGCAGGCTAGAAAACTTGTCTTTGGTGTTTTTTTTTTATGTTTGTATGTTTATATGTAAAAAATTACTTCAATCGCTTAAGCATCATTCAAGTAACAGACTTGATTGAGTGAATCTGATGGCAGTGTATGGTTTTACGTATATGGATTTAACACCATCTTACGAGTTCTATAACTAATATCTGTCTTACCTTTGACTCATAATATCTTTTTTTTTGATTAGAATATAGTCCCTATCCTATAGTCTTTGCATGTCATGTGTGCATTTCACCGAGGCTTTCAATCTCCTAGAGCACCTGCTTTATTAGAACGAGTAGATTTGAGTATATCAACCCTTTTTTTTTAGAACATGTCTGAATTTTATCTGACGAGATAGCAGGGGTATGTGGTGAAAAAATTGCTTACAGAAAGAAATCCCATTTTATTTGACGCCAAAGCAACTCTGTAGAATATATTTGGCAGTGTATTATAAATGACCAAATGTGTAAAGTTGCTGATCCTTTGTGTATGAGTGTGCGAATGTGTGCGAGAGTCAACGTTCGCTATCTAAATGGGATACTATTTACGAGTCGTTATTGCCTTTTTGCTCATCAAGGGTTGTTTTCCCATTTTCAACACAAGTTTTTGATTACTTTCCATCTTGGATAGGTATAAAGAGAAAACATTAACTTCAACAATACGGTTGCGAGTCATTTCTTCAATATCGTCGACTACATTGCTACTTGTTCTATTTCAAGAGCTATAAATTTATAAATTCACAACTATGGATATTAGATATTCCCTGTTTTGTATTGAAAAAATCATCTATAAACTTCCTCTTATTTCAATAACAAAAACACTTTTTTACCAAGGAAGTTTACTTTCTTTTGTATTGGTTTCTATTTAATTTGTTATACGTATATCTATATCCGTGTTGTTGCTATAAAATGAATACATTCTATTCGAACACAACATTGGGGAAGAAATATGGTTCGCATCAAAACCACTCGTCTAACTACAATCACCGCCCCAGCAATAACAACGCTTCTGGATCGGGTATGAACAGCCAGAATGTTGAGCAGGGCGACAGCTACCAACACCGAAACACGACGAGTGGGGGTGCCGGCTACCGTGGCGCTGGTTTTAAGGGCGGCCCAAGTTTTCGATCAGAGATACATGGGTATCCCAACCATCGCAGTGGGTTTGGTGATGCCGGTGGTTCCTTCCATCGTCAGGGCGGTGCACCTTACTCCGCCAACGGGGGCTACGCGGGCGGCGGCGGCGGTTCCCATTACCACCGCGAGGAAAAGCCGGAGGAGGAAATCTTCAAGGAGCACACGCCCGGTATTAACTTTGATCTCTACGAGGCCATTAAAGTGATGCTGACGCCGAATGACACCGAACCCTGCGATACCTTCGTTGCGATGAACCTGGAGCCCTCCCTCAACGAGAACGTGACGCGTTGCCGCTACAACAAACCAACACCGGTGCAGCGCTATGGCATTCCCTGTGTTCTGAAGGGGCAGGATCTAATGGCTTGCGCCCAGACTGGCTCGGGGAAGACAGCAGCTTACTTGATTCCAGCAATTAATTTTATGCTTATGAATAACCTAAATCGCACTCAACATAGTAATTGTGCGGAGCCTTCTGCCCTTGTGCTCTCGCCCACACGAGAACTTTCGATCCAGATATACGAAGAAGGTCGAAAGTTTACATACCGTACGGGTATCCGGTGCGTTGTGGTCTACGGTGGTGCTGACCCACGCTATCAAATCCAGGAGCTCCTGCGTGGCTGTGGGCTGCTCGTTGCTACCCCAGGCCGTCTGTGGGATCTCTATTCTCGAGGCTACGTCTGTTTTTCTGGTGTTCGCTTTCTCGTCCTTGACGAGGCTGACCGCATGCTAGATATGGGGTTCGAGCCGCAGATTCGTCAGATTGTACAAAGCTCTAAGAGTGACATGCCTCGAGCTGGCCATCGTCAGACGTTGTTGTATTCGGCCACTTTCCCGAAGGAAATCCAGCAGCTGGCTCATGAATTCTTGCACTCCCATTATTTTCTTCAGGTTGGCCGCATCGGATCGACTACTGAGAGCATTACTCAAGACGTGCGTTGGGTAGAAGACAGCGAAAAGCGTGATACACTTCTTTCACTTTTGCGCCAGCACGATGGCGAACGCGTTTTGGTTTTTGTTGAGAAGAAGCGGGATGCAGATTACCTGGAACGTTTTCTTCGCCAGAACCACATCACCTGCGCGAGCATCCACGGTGACCGCGTCCAACGGGAGCGTGAAGAGGCGCTAAGTTCCTTTAAAAATGGCCCCTATCGTGTTCTGGTCGCCACGGACGTGGCTTCTCGCGGTCTCGACATTCCAAACGTGGCGGTTGTGGTTCAGTACGACCTCCCGAGCAATATAGATGACTACGTTCATCGTATCGGTCGTACCGGCCGAGCTGGTAAGCAGGGCACGGCAGTTTCTTTCTTCAATGAAAAAAACCGTAATATTGTTAATAGCCTCATTCCATTGCTTAACGAAACGAATCAGATTGTCCTTCCACAAATCCAAGCCCTTGCCAAGAAACCGAATAATAACAATACTGCTCCGAACAACTTCGCTCGCGGACGTGGTGGCTTTTCTAATGGCTTTAGGAATAATAATGGCCCGTTTGGACAGCGCAACTTCTATCGTGGGGGTGGTTATTTCCGTGGTTGGGGAAACCGAGGGGGTTATGGGGACTATAATGGAAACCAAGGAGGTGGGTCTGGGCACCGAGTCTTTAACCGTGGAGATGCCCTCGGGAGTGGAGAGGAATACCACAATATGGGCGGTGGTTCTGGCTTCAATAATATGCGCAGTAGCGTATTCGGACAACATGAACAGCAGAATCAGAAGCACTAAAACAAAATGAAAGCGATGCCTTTATCGGCAAAGCACTCGTCGTTTATGACTATCTGTTGAGTTGGTCACCTTTCGGTGGTATAGAGGTGTTCAACAAGGTGAGCATTTTCTGAAAAAATCTAAAGTATGTTGAAGGCGTTCTCTTTCGTTAATCGTTTTAATATAACACTAAAGCTAATTATAGCCATTTAATAATGAAGAGCAGCCATTTTTTTTTTTGTATCATAATGTCTCCAATAGGAAGCGCTACACCATGCTTTAATGTGCCTTGGTATATACGCATCAAGCCAAATGCAATATGAGAAAAAATGAGTTTTTAGACAAACCAGTCCGAAATAGGTGATCTTTTATTTTCTTTTTTTTTTATAACAATAAATATATAGTGCTGTCAGCTCTGATAGAATGTTTCCCTCCGGAGTTGAATATTTTCCCACAACAAAGCTTCATACGAAGACAGGAATTAAAAGAGGTTTATTGGATATTTTTTGTTATTCAATCTAGAACGCTTCTTTTTTTTCCTATACCCCTTTGTGTGAAGCCTTTGAGTGAGGGAACAAACTGTTTTATTCATTATATTGTTACCTTTATTTTTTATTACCTTTGAAGAGCTGAAAATCGCACAAAGTAAGAAAATGTGATCTCTTTTACGCGGGGGTTTCTTCTTTTCTTTATGTGATTTTTTTTCTCTGGCTAAATGTGGATGGAATGAAAAATTTGCATTTCCTATCTGTGTGCTTCGACTTCTTTCGCTTGTGACAGTTTTTTTCCTTTTCTTTTTTTCTTTCTTCTTTCGTGCGAATTAAATATTCCCCCTTCTTCCCCATGAGGCGATGTTTACCGTCAAACAGCGGTGTATGTCTGAGAAGAGTGCGAAAGCTAAACCATTTTCTCAACAAAAGGAAGAGCTGGTATCATTGCTTACATGGGTGGGGTGAATTAGAAAAAAACATGAGATAAAAATATAAAACCTGATTTGTCATTATGGGAACACAAAAACAAAATATTCTGCGTAGCTTTCATTTTTTTCTTACTGTTTGCTTTTTCTACTGATGAGCACCCAGCAATATAATGCCTAGTACATCGTGACTAATAGAGCATGCAAGATTTAACGAATGAATTCAAGGGGTAAAAATAAATATGAGAAAAATAGTTTACGGCACTTACAGGAATATTACTCATTAGAATCATAATCCATTATTGTTACCAAGAAAAAGAGGAAACAGAGGAAAAAAATTACGACATTCTAGCGTTTGTTAGGGTAGATTTACTCTAATAATTTAGCAAGAAGAAGATGCTGAATAAAATTTTTTTTGAGAAAAACAAGGGAAGTAAACAAAAAGAAAAGAATCGAGTTGAAGACGTTCTTTTGTGTATCCATAACATCTATGTGATTTTGTTTCTAGACTATTTCAAGATTAGTTGAGTTACCATCAGCTACCATCATACTGTTTGTTCATTAAGTGTCAACAGAAGGAGCTTAAAATCTAGAAGGCAACAACACCAATATCACTTGAATCAAATACATATTTAATTTTTGCTCTAAGTAGCATTCGCACATTCGAAGCACTTTCTGCTCTTATCTTCATTTTCTTATTCTTTTGTTTTTGATAGACAAAACAGTCGTGTGATTTCCCCCTGGCTTTAATTTTCTGCATAATATTTTTCAGCTTGTAAAGAGTGATTTCAGAAATATACATTAATTAATTCTGGTGTTCATTAAGAACATTTAACCATCAGTGTGCTCTACTCCTGTATTCACTAGCTCTCCATTCCGTTATAGTATGTCTGACAGAAGTTTGCCTTGATACATTATTACACGAGGTTTAAGTCGTTTCACTTGATGTTTCTTTATTTTCCATCAGCACCAGTCCCTTTTTCTGATAGCATTTATTCTCCTTTCTCGCTTGTTAGTTTTTTTCTACCCGGGGAGATGAGTCTTTATAACACTATCAAAAAGTGACCAACGTAAATTACCAATAAGAATGGAAATGGTATTCTTTTGTTCACCTTTAACAAAAGGATATGATAATCCTAAGAGCTTTTCATACGGATGACTTATTGTTAACCTCCCCTTTCCATTTTTTATTCTTGCGATACTATGGCCTCTAAAAATGAGACTGATGGATATGAATTACATACCATAGAAATCATTCTATTCTTTATTTTTGATATAATCATTCTTAATTGCTGTTTATAAATGTTGAGTTAATGACTAATATAATCTGGTTTATAAATATATTTTTGTAGTATCCCGTTCCCCCTACATTCTTTTGTTCTAAAGATATAATTGTAATCTAATTACATTATCGTATATCTCAGGACTTTCCTTCCCATTATTTTTATCATGGAATTCTTTTTATTTTTCTTTTGTATGTTTGTGCATGGGTGGGTGGTGTTTGGGGGGGGGAGGGGGTGCGTACTAGAGTTTATCTTCGTTTTGTTGCGAATGCTTAGCTTCAAAAAGAATATAGAAAGGTAAGAAAAGTGAGAGCAGCGTATGTAAAATTTCAAGGATATCTGATATAGTATTTGGCTCTAGTTTTGTTTTTGTACAGGGCATGGCCTCTTTATATACATAACACAGGTTTTCTTTTTATAATTATTTTTCACACTATATAATATCTATAAGAGAAGTCTTGGGAAAACAGCCCTTGCGGATACTCTCGTTGTTGTTAGCAATACCCAGAGTGTAAAGTTTTGAGGGTGTGCACTGTTTTCTTTTCTAATAGTACTTTCTTCCTTAAAAAATCAGATGAGTAAGAAAAAAGTAGATACAATTTCTGTTTTTTTCTTTCAAATATATAATTTCTACTCACAGGTTGAATGCTAGTTTTTGGTCGTGTTGCACTTTGAGTAAATATGTGCTCTTTTAGTGCATGTATAAAAAATATATATAAAACTGATGTTGTATGCCAAGTAACCGAAAAAGGGCTATCCCAATGCGATATGGCACCTTCTATGTGTATCTTTTTTTTTGGTGTATTTTAGAAAAAAAGGTACTTTAAATCTGTGTGATAAATGTGATGTTATTCAGAGAGTGGAGCCCGGGCGTAGTATACTCGGCCACTGGGTAGCTTCAGAAACAACAAAAAAAGGGGAAATATATAAGTACGATTGTAAAGCAATAAATTTTAATTGGGTAAATGTGGGCTTTGATCACAAAATAGCTCTGGGCTTTTATTCTTTCATTGAGAAGTATTCTGGGTTTGAAAATCAGTCTGATGTAATATTTTTTTCATATTCTGGATTTCTTTCTCATTTAAAGATATAGTGAAAAGTGACTGGTCCTTATTTTTAAAGCTCCTACAGTTCTCTCTTTTTGTTTTCGTGTGATTCACAGTTTTTCATACCTTATATTTCCTAGTAAAAATAATATATACAATATATTATTTTAATTTAACTACTAACTTGCCTTTGAGTAGAGTTTTGTATGAAATAAGTTTATTAACTAGAATATTATACAACTGAACTAAAAACAAAATAGAGTCCAACAGGAAAAAATAGTTACCACTGCCGACGCTAAGGTCTATGAGCACTATTTTTGAAGTCATCCAAAACGTCATATGTGGATTCAGCGGTGATTATGTTCGCTCTTTTTTTCGTAGTAACTCTGACATAGTCCACTACACGGCCGTAGTATACGTTATCCTTCTTATGCTTGGCCCGATGTATATGGCGAAGAGGGAGCCACTCAAAATTACTGGCCTTCTGCGTCTGTGGAACTTTCTTTTCGCTGTTTTTTCCATTGTGGGGTCCCTTGCTTGCGCGCAAATTCTCTCTTACCTTTTTATGTCCCGATCATTTCATGAGATAGTCTGCAAACTTGACTACTTTGCAATTTGCAACGGCAGTTGCGCCTTTTGGAATTTTGCTTTTATGGTTTCAAATATGTTAAAACTGTTCGACACTGCTTTCCTCTGTCTACAAAAAAAGCCTTTTACCTTTTTGGATACCTATTACCGTTTGATAGAGCTTTTTTTTTATTGGAACGCTAATCGTACACTCCTTTCTGCTAATATAATATTCACTTTCATGGGTTACTTGACGCAATCTGTTATCTGTGCACTTAATTTTATCATCTATTATGGGCCAGAAGGCCAAATGGCCCCCCTCTCTCAAGTTGTTACCTTCTGTTATTCATGTCAGTCGTTCTTATGTTTGGGTTTATGTTTATACATGGGTTTTCACTATTTTAGTGATAGTGGGTGTGGTGTAGAACCTGGCATGGTGCGCTTAGGTATAGCAGTATATGGAGTTCTTTCTGTAAATATCATATTTTTCGGGTTAAAACATTCGATTAATACGACCTTCATTCCAGTAGAAGGGTCTGAAATCGTATCTGGAGATACGAAGCTATTTTCTGAATCATTGATTCAGGGGATCAAGTCGAATTATTCCAAAGAAGCACATCAGACTTTAACAAGTGTGTCCATGCCACTTACTAACGGAATTGGCAGCGAAAAAGTTATCAAAATAGGTAAAAAAAAGCTGATCACTTGAAATAAGGTTGATTATAAAAAAGCTAAATATTTAATAGCTGTCCGATTTAAATAATGCATATTATTATGTCTTTATAAAGGATCTGTAGAAAATTAAGTCTAGACTGTGTTTAGACAACAAAGCTGTGGTATTTTTAATTTATAACTGATTCTTCATGTCTATTATTTCTTTACTTAATTATAGTTTATCCATTAATAATAAATGTGATAATCTAAAATTACATGTATATGAATGTTTTTTATCTCTTTATTCTATTATATCGGGCACGCTTTTCAAAGGTATTTCTTCATTTTTATTTCGCTTATTCAACTTCACAACAGCACAGGTATAGATACACGGTGATGGGAGGCAATGAACCACCAAAAAACGCCGCCTGTACAGATGGCATGCCGCACGATCATGTAGATGGCGGTGAGGATGATCTAGAATACGGTAAGCAACTCCATACTGAGACCACTCTTAAACCTCTTATCCCATCGGCCGCACGAGTGGAGGTGCATCCGTTGGTGCTGCTCTCCCTTGTTGATCACCACGCTCGTATGAACAGCAAAGCCATCCATGAAAAGCGTGTAGTGGGTCTTCTTCTGGGCCGTCACAAACGGAACTCGGACAACATTCAGACTCTGGACATCAACAACAGTTTCGCTGTTCCCTTTGACGAGGATGCCAACAATCCAGAAGTTTGGTTCTTTGACACCAATTACGCAGAGGAAATGTTCGCCATGTATCGTCGCGTGCTGCCGCGGATCAAAATTGTCGGGTGGTACTCCTCCGGCCCCACCGTCCAGCCCAACGATATGCTGCTTCATCTGCTCGTGGCGGACCGCTTCTGTCCGAATCCGGTATATTGCGTGGTCAAGACTGATCCCAATAACAAGGGCGTGCCGGTATTGGCCTACACCACGGTACAAGGCCGCGAGGGCACACGATCCTTAGAGTTCCGTAATATCCCCACCCACCTTGGTGCGGAGGAAGCTGAGGAGATCGGCATTGAGCACCTTCTGCGCGACCTGACTGACTCCACGATCACCACCCTGTCAACCAAAATTCAGGAGCGCGAGCTGTCGCTGGCGCACCTGTGCGACATTCTGCAACAGATCGATGAATACCTCAGTGATGTGACCAAAGGGACGCTGCCGATCTGTGAGGATGTGCTGGAGGTGCTGCAGAAGGCGATTAGCCTGCAGCCCGAAATATACCTCCACAAAACCTCGACTGAGATGATTCGTCATACAAACGATAGGGCCCTCTCGACCTTTTTGGCAGATATCGCTCGCTGTGTGGGGGCACTTCACGAAGTAATTGTTAATCGACGTAACATCGCTCGTGAGTTGAAGGAAATTAAAGCCTCCCGTGCCCGCGTGGGAGAACAGAAACTGGAGAATGAGAGGGAAAAGGAATCCGACGCCGCAAAGGAGGCAACCTCTAGACAAAGCTAGCGGGGTAGAAGTTGGCAATTACATGAGCAGAATGCAAATACACCAGCTAGCCTTCCTACTATGATTTTCCCTCATTTTTCAGTGTTGTTTGTTAATTATCGTGGATTTGCGTTATCTTTAGGGTTTTGCTCTTTTTTAATTTTGCTGCAGAACTTTATAAACTCCTTAGAAAGCATTCTAAGAAAAATGATGAGGGAGAAGGAAGAAATTTTCTGGTCTAGCAGGTTGACTGTAAAAGAAAATACAACGTGATTTTTCTCTATAAATGTTATTCAATGAAAAATACTATTATCTAAAATCAAATTGGTCAGTAAGGAATAAAGGCACCAAGGGTATCGTTGGTACTTTTTTCCGAAAAGCTGTGTAATCGATGTAGTATTCATAGTAAAACAACTCTCGGAAAATTTACCCCTTTTCACGTTTTTATATCATTTCCAACAAGAGTAGAGAGGATATCGATCTATCTCTTTCCATATATATATATATATTAAAATATTCATTGTTTTTGATAGCTTAGGTTAATTTAATTTTAGTCTAGAATACCACTTCATTTTACCTTTCGCATCATTGCTTTCTTTTATTTTGTCACTTGTGAACTTTAGAGAGTTCTCAACTTATTATTATTAAGCATTATATGTGGGGATGACTCACTGCCCCATTGCTAAAACTAATCGTGAGGTTGTGCCTGTTGTGAGTGCCTTCTCAGGTGAGGCTAAGTGTGGTTCCAAACCACCTTCACGCGTTCCGTGCTGTTGCTTAGATTATTGCACGTGCCGGTTTCCTAGGAGACAGTCTAACCACAACAAGTATTACCATAACTTCATTCAAGCACCCTCTTCCCGTAGTTATCATTTTAAAGATAGACAATCTCTTAACAAGCGATGTTTGTACTGCCTACCAGAACAAAAATTAATCCATGACGATGAGATAGCAAACCGTCAGCAACGTTGCCGAGCCACACGATCGGCTTTGTTGAAGAAAAGAAGGAGTTTAAAGGATAAAACATTACTTTCGCCATATGTTAATTCGTACCGCAGAAACGCCGCAGAGCTGCTTCGCATTTTAACAAATAAGTTTCACCAACGCGAGCTAGATCTTGAATACGAAAAACGTTTGAAGGAGCTTCGAGAAGAGCTCAAGTCACGGGTGAAAGGGCGGGTGCAGAGGAATAAGTTAGATCGCCTACAGGACATGTATGATAGCAATACTCAAACCGACAAACTAATTTCGGACACCTGTAAACAGTTTCCACCGCCTTGTTCACGATGCAATCCAAGGGGCTGTGAGTCTACGTTTCCGAAACAGGAGTCTTTAAGGAGTTGGCGTGAGCCACCATGTCATTCACCCCGTCTTAGGCCTCGTGTTCCCCATTCGGATCGCAAACAGGGGGTATCCCCTCCTATGGTTCAATGCATCACTTGTGAACATATGGAGCCACCACCGCGGAAATTGAACGCTGACACCGCACATTATTCAGCCAAATCTCACTTAACAAAGAAATCTTTACAAAACCAGGAAAGGAGCCCGTCAGTTCCTCTTCAGAGCGGTAAGACGCCCTCTCCGGGACGCCAGGGCGGCGCCCTTGCTGAGGCTCACTCTCCAAGAGATAATAAAGGAAATTGTTGTCCCTCTTGTGGACACCCCCTCACATGGGCCTCTGCCACGGAAGTTGTTTCAATGCTGGTAAGAGGAAAGTTCAATGATTTTTTCCATTGTAATAGTTGTGGACTCGTGGCTGGAAAGCCATATCCACGGGTAAACAACGCAGCAGGTCATCACCCTATCATGGGCTCATCTATCCGCCGCTCACGCAGCATGTCATCAACCTATTTAAGGTCACCATTCTACGGTCGTAGGGTGCTTATCACTGACGATAGCTACCTTCATTATCGGTCCAAATTATTCTCGGAATGGGAGAAATCCGGTGCTATTGAACGAGTATCGTCTACAAAACGCAGCCTGAGCGCGTCGCTGCCTGATCGCACACAGAAATGGAGGACACTTCCATCATGGCCAATCGTAGTGCGGTAGAATAGCAGTGTCAAAGCATATTCTTCTCTATTTCACGCACCTCTCTTTCCTTTCCTTTTTCTTTAAAAAAAAAGAAAGGGTAAGGTTAAGCCGAAAAATTTTGGTGGGGAAGAGAATTAGTCATTATTCGTGTAAAAAGCTATTAGAGATGAATATATATATATATATATATTTATTTATTTATATATACGAATCATTACAGCAAAATTCAATAGAAACTGTTTAAAGATCCCTGTATTTGTACTTGTTTTACTCACTGTTCTGCAAAATGTAAGCAAGCGACTACGCTCAATCCAATGTAAAGCGAGTTTTCTCGTTTTTTCAGCTAAGTCTAGCGCGACTTAAGGACTAGGAAAGCCAATCTTTTTTACCTTTTGATTGTCATTTTCATTTTACTCCTTATGCCTTTATCTTAACAAGTAGGCAAAGACTATCAGGTACACAATTTAGAGAATAAAGTTTCACTTATAGTTACCAAAATCACAAAAGATTTTCCCAAATTTTGTATTTAGTGTTTGCAATTTCTTGCCTTCTTGAGTATATATATTTGAGGGAAGATGCTTCATTTGGTTGACGATTCTGGTCACCTGAAACCAAAGGGAGAGGTTACTGACTTCTTAACTTCTGCTCTTTGCGAGAATAATGCGAACAATGATAAAGAAAAGCTCTCTTTGATTTCTATTGGGTCCAACTATCATATTGTAGGAGTTCTTGGAGCACAAAGCAGTGGCAAATCTACACTTTTAAACCATTTATTCACGACAAATTTTCAAATGTTAGACGAGTCGGTGCGTCGAGGACAAACGACCAAAGGTGTCTTTCTTTCACGCAGCAATATTGGACCTGGGGTGAACGACAGCCAAGTTAAGACAAGCTCACCCTTGCTGGTTGTAGATTTTGAGGGAACAGATGGCCTTGAGCGTGGTGAGGATCAGAGTTTCGAGCGTCAGTTATCTCTTTTTGCCCTTTGTATGGCCGACACATTGATTCTTAACATGTGGGCCGTTGATGTTGGTCGCTTTAACGCTGCTAACATGAGTCTTCTTCGCACCATATTCGAGATAAATTTGCAGCTTTTTTCACACGAAGGCTACGTGAAGGAGGAAAAGCCTACGTTGCTAGTAGTCCTGCGCGATTTTATTGAAAACGACCTCCAACCAAGCTTGGTGACACTCCGAGTGTCATTTGATAAGATCTGGGAGAACATCGTCAAGCCCCCTCGATTTTCTGATTCCAGCATCACCGATCTTTTTTCCTTCAAATATTTTGCGATGCCACATCTCAAGCTTCAACAAGGGGAGTTCTTCTCCAGCGTTTCAGAACTTCAGCGCTGGTTCACCGACTCGCGAAGCAAAGATTTTTTATTCAATCACCAGTCTATGTTCCGTGGTGTTCTATTGGAAGACTTACCGTCGTATCTGGCCAACTGTTGGGAAACCATCCTCACTAGCAAGGATCTTGATATTCCAACTCAAAGAGAAATGTTGGCCCATCATCGTTGCAAGGATGCTAAAGCAAATGTATTCTTGTCCTTCCAAGAGTTTTGTCAGGGATTTGAGGAGCGCATCGGTCGTCATGATGCGTCGTTGATGCTTTCAGGGTGTTTTGAAAAAGAAATGGCAAATCACATAGAGGAATACAAAAATCTGACGAAGTTGTACAGAGGTGAAATCGTCGCTTCTTACAAAAAGGAGCTGGAGACAGATATGGTGAATGTGTCAATAAAGATGTTGGACCGCGTGTGCACACCCATATCTACTGACGTCCTCAACCGCATAGAGAAACATATTCAGAAGGTCGTTGATGACGCGATGAACCAACTTCTTGTGTCCTCGCAGGCACTTCCCCTTATTTCCGGGGGCGGCAAAAAGGCCGAGCCCGAGTTGGGGGCTGCCGAAGGTAGCGCAACAACATCGATTTCATCTACCGCCAGCACTGTCTTTCGTATTGACGGGGCAGGCTGCCAAGACCTTGTGTTTAAGTTCTGGAAGGGAGTGGCAAGTGACGTCAATCGTGTTCTGGCTTCGCTGGACAACAGTTCCACCTCAACCCATTTGTTTGGCAGCCATGCGGTGCTGGTCGAACGAGACCCTGCAACCAGAGCATACGTTGTGAGCTTGGTGACTAGGGCCGTCTTTAATAAACTGAAGTTTCGTATTTCGTCTATGTCTGAAAACATTTCCGAGACGATGCATCGCGGGTTTGAATATTGCATGTCTCACAACGCTTCCGGCACCGTAAAGTTTTTTTCAACCGCAAAAGGTCTTTTGCAGGCTGTACCTGCAGCCCAGCAGGCAGGCCTTATTGAACTTGGTTGCTTTTTATACTTCCGCCTGCATCTCTCAGCGGTACGGGAGAAGGAAGAGTCGAAGACAACCATTTCCCATCCTTCACTGGGTCCTTTGTCGTGTTATATAAATACCAGGCGGTGTACCGTCTCCGTACGGCAAAATCATGATGAGCAGGAATTTTTCTTAAAGTATACCACATTGCAGAGCTGTCCAATTTACCCTCATCACGTGTGCGTTGTTCAGCCACCAAGGGGAGAGGATGATTTTGACACCGATAGTGACGCTGTGGTTGCTAGCTGTGTGTTACTGAACCAATCCGCACTGGAAAGGGCCTTTGAGCTATACAAACAAAAGTGTGAGTTCACCGTTCAGCTTGAGATGCGTTCCATTGAAGCAGGTATGCAGCGTCTTCCGGCGTGGGTAATTCCAACCATCTGTATTTTAGGATTCAACGAGTTTTGGTACATACTTACAAGCCCTATTCTGCTTACCATATTAATTATTGTGACTTTTATACTTTTCAAGTTTTTTTTAGTGCGCCAATGGCAGTATTTCGAAGAAACAGGGCCAGCTATAGTTGTAATCCCCTTGAAGATGCTCATTAGTAATCTGAACGCAATGTACCGCCATATTATGCCAAATCCGGGTGTTTCGTCCAAACCAACTGTTTCCACTGTCTTTAATGGGAATGACACATCAAATGAAGCTAAAGGTAGCGGAGCTGAAGTATTTACAACACAGAGGCCTCAGCCTCGGGTTTCTAATTCTGTGCATGCTGATTCAACATTAGCTTGCGCTGAATATATAAATCCCAATACAACAAATACACTTCGAAAGCGTGGTGAATAGGAGCAGGACTAGATGCAAAGTTCTTCTCCTTCCGTAACTCCCATTGTGATAAGATATTCACTTTTAGGTGATATTATGTAGGCAAATTTAGTTCTTTGTTGTGTAGTTTTCAGTTTACATTTTTTTGTTTTCTTACATCGTTTTATATATAGAGAGTATACATTTTAATGGAGATGATTTTCATGCTTTTATGACATTTCTGGTTTCGCTTTGAGTTTACGGAAAAAGAGAGGAAACCTCAATCTAATGCTTAGTAATGTGGACTGAGTATCATGAGGCTACTCAGCTTTACCTGGATTTTCATTTTGGTATTGCCACATATACTATTCCATGTTTAACCCCAACCCTTTATTCATTTTTTGTTTTTTCAACCCTTCTCTTTTTTCAACGCTTTGAACATACACACACACACATAATTGTGCAGTTGTATAAGGATATAAATTGAACCACTTTTGCACATCATAGTGTAAGGCACAAACGAGAATTAAAAAACTTAACAAGTTAATACAAAGGGCTCACTGGAACGTATGTCCAATAAGATTCCTCAGTCAAGCGTAGAGTATCAGTCCCGTAATCATTGTCAGTGCGATTTTTGCTGCAGCCGACGCGCTTTAAATGCCAAGAGGTTTGGCGTCACTGCACTTGTTTCCCGCGATTCAAATGGTCAGCTTCGGAACAGTTGCTATTGCTCCAACCCGGACAGTATTAACCGTAACACCCTCGGAAAAAGTAATGGCAACACGAACTTTAACCCAGATCACCCATCTCCGGTTAATCAGACAGCCTTAAACGCTTCCCGTGGACGTAATGGTGTGCCTTCTGGAAATCAATACACTATTTCCCAAGGCCCCGGAAAGGGGATTTTGAGGTCCGGTGTTTCGGGTGAGCTATCGACTCAGAAGAGATCTGCGGAGGATGATCTGAAAGAGTTGGATCAGCTGGAACAGCTTTTAATCCTTGAGCACAAGGAACGTGTTGCGGCCAGTTTGGAGTCTGACCGCCTCAACACGTTGCGTACGACCAAAAAGGAGTCTCGTCCGCTGCCACTTCCCTCTGGTTATGTGCCATCATCGTCAGCGATGCCTTATACCACGACTGACGACGTTGCACTTCGAGCAGGACACGGCGAAACATCGTACGACAAGACCGGGGTTTCATCAAACGGGGACGTCCCAAAGAAGGTGACCATTCAGGAGGCCTTCGAGCATGCACACCACTGCCCTGTGGCACCGGTCGCACAGTGCGATGCATCACATCGTCTTCAAGATGCAATTAATGGTGTGCGCATGGTTGCGATGGATCCTACTAATCCTAAAAATCGAGAGACACTTCAAGAAGTTCTGCGGGCCAATAATATCGAGCCTCCAGTCAGCACCGCTATAACAAGCATACCAAGCACCAAACATGATGCAGAAGAGCCCACAATTAACTTAGGGACAGAAGTTAAGGAAACTTTAGTGTCTATTCGCACTAGCCAACATCACCCACAAGGTGCCGGCGTGATTTGGGCTTCGTCGAGTGGAAAGACCTTGAAGCAATTATCTAAATAAAGAGACAAAGTGATACCAGTACCTTTGACATATCAAGAGACGACTACTTCTTTGACATACCAGGTTGAGAATGTAAAGAAGAAGGTAGCTTATGTAGTTTGAATCTAACTTTTCATCTTAATATTCAAGCGTATATTATTTTATAGGCTATGTATTTAACGTCGACAAGTTTTCATTTGTTTCAATTTGACTTTTCTGAAACTTTTCGATTCTTTGATCTATGTAATTTATCTATAATTTTCAGGATGGAGGTACCCACATGTGTCTTATACCTTGTGCGTGTGGGTGCATACCATTAAGTTCCCAGATGCATGATCACCTTTACCGGTCTAAAAAGATTTTTTGTGTTGAAAATAACAACTGGCGACAATTTCGCAATTGGGATTGAGGGGAATACAAAATACTTTATTGCATAGACTTTGTTAAGCTCACTCCTATTTTTTGATTCTACGTTTCTACACAGGTCGTTTTAACTTGAAGTTTATCTAGCCTGACATCCAGTTTGAAGGCGCAGCGACGATATAATCCACTTAAGAAAATATACACGTTCAGAGGACCAAATATGATCTTCGATCAGTGTCGTGCTCAGTGTCGATGTTCCCACTGTGAACATAATTCAGCTAACACGCAGAGAACACTTTCAGTGAATGGAAAAAAATTTCCAGCATGCAAAACGAAGGATATCATGAAGTCTTCACCTCTTTCCAAGGATCAAATGTACATGAAATACTTACAAAGTACTTTAAACAAACGTGCGCTCATGGTTAGCTCCAAGAATGCAGCCAAGTTTATCCCCGACGAGCAGATCGTAAGCAGCCGAAAGCGACGTGAAGCAAAGGAAGCTGCAATAGCCTCTCAGCAGTTTCCTCTGCGCCGACGAGATCGTCTGGAGGAGCTTCTCATTATTGAGCATAAGATGCGTCTAAAAGAGGAAGAACGACTCCGTTTGGAGCGTCTCAAGCTTGGCATCCTTGACAATCCTGAGGAGGTAATGAACAATCAAGAAGTATCTGACTCGACCAAAGACGCCACAACCCAAGCCCCTGCCTTAACTGACAAGAATAGCTCAAGTGGCCGCGCGACGCCGCCGTCGCGTTGCTCAGCGGAACGTGATCTGAATACGACGCTACATGAGATCAAGGACATCTTGGATAATGAGACTGAATTTCCACCAGGTAAACAGCTAAGTAATCAGCATTTCACAAAATTATACCATCTAGTCCAAAATCATGATAAGAAAAACTCCAAAAAAAAGATGATGTGTCCAAATCAACCGCATCTCTGCAACCACTGTTTTGACATCGATGTTCAAGCACGGCACTTATGTCCTAGTGCATCTCTAGGTTCCGTAGCCTACAATGAGACAGGGAAGGTCATCAACCCCGAGGAGGGTATTTGCCTTGGTACCGAAACCCAAAGTGGTCCAGGTGGCACCTATACCGCGGACGACGTCACACGCTTTATAGCATGCAATTCGCACTTGCAAAATTACAATCCGCATCCTTATGGTACCGGGGTCGTATTTATGCCCCCTTCCTTAACGGGCAATCACGGGGATGCGAAAGCGAAGACAAATGGAAATCACACTAAATTTCAACCCCGTTTTAATAATAACATCACACCTGAGGAACCGGTTATACCGGAGCTGCAGTACCCTGGGAGCACCTACAATGTGTACGATGAACCTGCCACTGCTGGAAAGCCCACTAAGAATATCGCTCTCACTACCGCCACCGTGAAGCATGGTGTAATTGATCCTGATTACAATGCTACAGAATATGCCAACTTTGCCCACCGTACTGAACTCGACACTGAGCCAGCTGAGGATAAGTCTAAACCTGTGGGAAAATCATCATCATCGTTATGGCGCACTACCAATCAGGTACGCGATATGGACATGGAGCGCTTTTTGACGTTTCAGAAGATGCTGAAAGACACTACTCGAAAGGTATACGAATCAACGGCTCCACACAGAGTTGTTGAAAGTAGAGTTTAGCCAGTGGTTATTAAAAAAAAAAGCTTTCCTCCCAAGTATCATACTAATATAAATGTATCAGGGTGAGGAAAGCATTTTATTCTTCTTCTATTTAATTTCCATTTATTTAATGTATATAACTTTGTTGATACTCACTTTGCTTTTAATATGATGCATTGTGATATAAGAAGAGAATGGAATGCAGTCATAGCAACTTTTTTTTTAATTGTATGATCTTATGTAATTAAATTTGCCAGATGTACAACATTGGTATTAAATTCCATGATTTGTAAATTCATCTTTGTATCAGATATTGCAAACTGATACTTTTTTTACATTTCATTGATTTAATTTATGTTACTTCTTTTTGTTGTCTGTTTCTTTAATGATTTAGACCATTTAATGTGATTTCAATCTACACCAAAAGGTCGATTCTTGTTTATGTACTAAAAGCTACTACTTTCACTGGAATATGTTTTAATTAGTCTTTGCAACTTAGTTTCGAGTTTATTTAGTATCAGTTTATTCCTTTTAATATACTTTGATTCTATCTATCCTTTTATTCAGATTTACTTTTTAATATTATTTAGAACCTTAGAAATTTAAAGCTAGAATCTAAAACTAGTTGTGATATTTGGTGATTTATTTCCTACCTTTTTTATGCAATTTAACACTGCTTTGGTAAATTTGTATATCGATTTGTTGGACGCGTGAAGGTCGTTTCATGCCGATCAAAGCAAAACCTGTGGACCCACAAAGAGCTATTGAGGTCGCGCGAGGTCAGCTAAGTACTTTGAACTCATCTCAAGTGACTATCTCCAATAAGTCAGATTTTAGCGCTTTTGACAAATCTCGTCGACAGACAGTAGCTTTTAATGATAATGATGATAATAGTAGCACCACTACTAGTAGTGAGGCCACTACAACTCCTGAGGTACTTTTTTTAGGTCACAGGAGTAGTCAACGACAAGAACCACACAAACAGAGCCCTCAGTTTAATGATGCGGAGGAGTTCATCCTAGAGTCCGCACGGAAGCGTACAAAGGCATTGCTCTACCTAAAAAGTGAGTCCATTGCTCATAATTCTGGTATATCCCAAGCACTTCCTCAGCACAATGAACGTCTTCTTAGATATGAACTAGCCAAAGCACACAAAATTGCATCAAAATCCGTACTTGAGGCATCTCTTGTATCGGAAGCACCTAACGTCCGTAGTAATAGTGATGCATCAGAGTCACCTCAATGCGTTGCCCCAATCCCAGATTCAACCCCAAGTCTTTACCTGACTGAGCTTAAGCCTTCACAGTCCCTATCAAACTCCGATGAGGATGAGACGAAATCGACAGGAATCACCCACACTGTCGCGAACCTCCCCTATTCCAATAATGCCGACACCACATACCTTGACCCAGTTCAGGAGAGCTTTGCAACGCTTTTGGACTTACTGGGCAAGGACATTCAGACTCGTCCTGAGCCCAGTGCGCGAGATCTGAAACAGCGATCACTGCTGGCAAAGTCGGAAAATGGCTCTGAAACAAGACCAAAGCGCAGTGGTCCTCCACTTCCCCGCACTTTCGCTGAGCTAGAGCAGGAGGCTTTGGTGCAGCTTTATCGAAATTGGTGCGACCCCGCACAGGAAGAGGGTTCGCAATCACCAATACCGTTCGTGGCCTCCAATCACACTGCCGAGGCTCTGGCCATGTCCAAGGCGGTCTGCCAGGATCGGAGGGGTATCGTCTTTCCGGAGGAGATGCACACTGCCCCATCGCTCCTTCCAGATGAGCCAATGACACTGGAGGAAATGATCATCTCATCACAGGTCAGGCGAACCCATGCTTTACGTCCATCATCGGCGGATCCAGCTGACGAGGGAACTCTTTTGTCTATACCGGCAGCACTTTCTCAGCAGGCGCAGGAGAGGCTCAATAGGTTTTGGTTGAGTGTTATGTGGGTAGAACGTCTAGTGAGCGATATGAGGTTTGCTCGCTCGCTCGCTGGGTTTCTTTATGCCCACCACAAAATTTTTATGAGGTATATCATTCACCAGACAAAGGGAAAGACCTTCAAAGAGATCGATGATCATGATCATGAAGAGTACGATGTTTATGAAAAGTTTGGACATCATGTCTCTACTGCGCTTTTGCATGTGTTGACTCATAACGTTCCTGGATTTGACGAAGCCGAGTTCGTGGAGGAACTTTATGAATACCCTGTTAACTTAAATCTTTTTGATGGCGATGAAAACAGCAGCAGCGCACTTGGATCGCAGGGTATCCTGTCCTACCAAGCGTGGCGTATCATTTCAGCCATGAGTGACTTTGAATCATTTTTCCTTTGGATGATCGACTTCATCAATGAAGAGTACGAGGTAGAGCTGAGTTCAAAGGCGCTTGTTGCCGTTGGTGGGGCTCGTGGTTTACGAGCCCTTCTTCAATCTACATATCACTTTGAAAGAAAGGCTGATACGGAAACCTCAAGCATATCTTCTCCATTACCCTTGACAGTGCCATCAAACGTTGAAACCGTTGCTAGACCTTCTTCATCTTCAACTGAAAATGTCTTAGAGGTAAAGTCTCAAGTATTTCTTTCTAAAAAACAACCCGAAGAGTCAGCGTCGCAGGTGGACCAGACAAGTGAGATGTCATTTGCTTTTATTACCGATGGCACAAATTCATTCAGACCAAAGACAATGTCGGCTAGTATATCTTCTGATGTTACTACACAAAACCGTAAATTGCTGAGACCCACACCGTCGGGAAGCGCTGGTAGTCGTCGTTTTTTTCATCCCAATAAAACTTTGAGGGCGCGTGCAGTTCGAAACTTGCCTGCGCTTCACGTTCCGAGTCCCGACAACTCTAGTTTAGATCACCAATCAAGTAGTAGAAAGAAAAGCGAACTGCGGGATAGCTATCCAGGTGCTTTGAAATCGTCTGTTAGTCCACAAAAAAGTGGCAACATCCGCCAATCTACAGCCGAGGTGACGTCCACATCTATCGCTTCTACTAGAAACACTAGTGCACAAAAAAAGGTCGTCAGATTTGCTTCTTCTACAGCCCCTAAACTTCCAACTGCACGCACAAAGTCTAAAGGAAAATGAAAGCCTAAGTGGTTTTGATTTTCTGATACTTTACTCTTTTATTCACTCATAGCGATTCCTTAGGATTAACTGGCGTGCATTTGTCGGTTCCGAACTCAGATATGCAGTTTTATCAATTTGCATTTTTAAACTCATTTCCTCTGATTTTTCTTTAGTGCCCAGTATGATCAATTTGTACTCAGTATTGAAAGGTATTAGTTTTCTCATGTGAGATCGAACTGATGGTAGCAGGAAAAAAAAGAGGACAATAAATGAGAAATCCGTTACGCAATGTGATTATAAAAAAAAAGTATACAACTACTGAAAGACTGAGAGAAGGATCCGAAACGTACAGGGAAGTCTTTTTTGTAGAAAAAAATAAAATCACCTAGCCAAAGTACAACTAGTTTGATAATCTAGATTGATTCACTTTTAAAAGTAAATAAAATGATAACTCGTATGCATCACAGGTGGGGGGCTTATGCAAAGTTGAAGTAACCATCTTTTATCGACTTAGGGTATGTAGCGAATTGAACAGGTGATTAATGATCAAAATATTATCAATCTCATGAATATGCACACGAAATATCCTTCCAAGCGATTTTTTTAATTTTGTGTGTCTGAGTGAAGGTTACTTTTGGTATGCTTGTTGTATGACAGGGAAATATTTCTTTAGAAACCCTCATAATGTTTTCACTTTTAGTGATTATTTCTCTAAGGGTGCATCGCAGAAATGTTCGATTCATCTTGTTTATGAGTTTCTTTTTCCCCTTCCCTTCTCATACATATTCAGAGGAAAAAGTTTTCTCCCACTTTAGGTTTCTCTTTATTATAGTCTGCTTTGTGGGTGTTTTATTTTTTTAGTTTGTTTTTGGAATTAACGGTTAGAAAACACCTAATTTGTATATAACATTTTTGGTGGCTTAAGTCTCAAAAATAGAGTGGTGCTCATTTTCTCCCATTTTTATTTTTTCTGGGGTTTGTTTGGCAAGATTTAGATTCATCACATGGCGCTATTTGCTTCAAACAAGCCCTCCCATGAGGGCAAGCTTGAGAAGTCCCTTATGGCCTTTCATAGTTCCCAACCACTCCTTGCAACCGCGTGGACAGCCCCCACGTCGGTGTTGATCACCAACAATGAGGGAGAAGTACTTACAGTGGTGGAAGAACCGCGTGACAGGAATTCAACGTCAAAATCTACTCTCGTTGTCACTTGTCTCGCGTGGCATCCAAATGAACGAATTTTGATCATAGGCTGGAGCAACGGCAACCTATCCCTATGGTCCATGCCGATGGCGGGTGAGCTTGGAATTGATGATGGGGAGGGTATCGGCGCGGATGGCCAGATTAATAATGTGGTGTTGTCTCTTGCGGCGAAGGCCGCTACACTCACCGATATGGAAGACCTCACACATGAACATCGCGAGACACCGGTTCTGCTTTGTGAGTGGTCCACACAGGGTCAATATTTGTTCACATCGTACGATCCCAATACAGTTACACTGTGGGAGCTGGAGAGAGGTGTATTGCAGCAGCAAAACTCAGTGCATAACACCGCGTTCGAACATGTCATCAGGTCACTTTGGTTCGTTGAGACCCCTGATCCTATTCTTAAGGCTGTTCACGTTCCCTGTAAGTTATCTTTGGCATTGCCGAGAACCTCAGCGAATACCGCCCTGCGTAGATCCGCAACACAGGAAAACCAGAGCCCCGAGAACCATGGTCACGAGCAACCTGAAGCATCTTTGAATATCGTAGAGGATGATATTGTATTCCTTCTCCTAGGAGGTGGCAATAACATCTACATTATGACAGAGGAGCAAAAGCTCTTAAAGATTTCATCGAGAATCGGGAATATCGTCTCTTTCCTGTATGATCCGAAGGAGCGCACGCTTGTGGTCTGGAATAACAGCCAAACATTAGAAGTGTACCATATTCGTAAAGACCTTTCCACTGAATCCTTGTTTTGGAAAAAGCTGACGACACCGAGTTACCCTACAACAGCACCAAGTGCGTTTTCCCCGTCTCTGGCCTGGGATGGCTCCGGATCTGTGATGATTGCCTGTGGCGACGACCGTGTTTACCTGTTAGACATCAAAACGGAGACAATCCACACCATCCCCCTCCCCCAGGTAGGGAACCACGTTCGAGTAGTTGCCTGTGCGACCCAAAGGAAGGTATTGATAGCTGGCACCATTGAGGGTATGGCGACTGTGTTTATTCATAACGATAGAGCCGCACTGCAGAGTGCTAGGTGCGGCAGTAGCAAGGCAGATAACGTGGTTGCACCTTCTGATGAGCCGGATGGGGTCGGATCGATGTGCATGGCGATGGATGACATCAACGCATGGGAGGCTCTGACTACACATAACCTCGGTGAACAAATTGATCATATCTCGATCAATCCATTGGGTGATATTGCCGTATGCATAGGCGGCTCCCATCTTCAGGTAATTCATGAGGCTGAGCGCCATCGAGCCTGGGACGGTACGGCGGCGGCTACACAGATTTCAACCAACTTAGTGGTTATTGAAAGTGTATCCGGCTGTCAATGCTTGCTAAATAGTAAGACCAAAGTTCGAGGTCTCGCCATCTCCTTTCCTAATATTGCCATTTGGGACGGCTCGCAGATTGATATTTACACCATTAACGAAGCTAGCTCTGATTTCACGCATATCAATTTCGTGCCTACGATGAGCTCTGCTTTCGCGATGCACCGAGATGGCCTGCTCTACGTGAAGGATGGACGCATCATTTTCACCACCTTGCATCTTCAAAACATCGGACAGCTTACTTTTACCGCATCCGAAGGGGTTCCGGTGGTGCTCGACATTATGAAGGACTTCGTTGTAGCGGTTTCGTCCCAAAATTCGCTCCGCCTCGTGCGGATCACCCCACGTGGCCTGCAGCCGCTGGGGCCGTCGCGGCCCTTCCGGCTCATCGAGGATGGCACCGAAGCTAACAGGGTGACGGTGGTCTCAGCACGCGTCAACGCGCAGGGCCGCCGTGTGGCGTTGATGGCAAGGGTCGGCCCGCTCCAAGTGCCGGACACTCGCATTTGGGTCTTCGATACGGACACCGACAAGATGATGACCTTTGATTTTGCCGTGAGGAACGAGGTGCCCGATGCGGTGTACTGGAACACCCCCGAGCCTAATGCGAGCACCATTGGGGAGTTGGAGTATCTCTTACTTGCCTGCGAGACACACCAGCTTCGAAGCAAAATGACCGACTCGGATCCTTTCACCGAGTCAGCTATCAACGACGATGATGATAGCAAGGATAATTCCATCCATGATAGATATGATGAAGAGAGGGATCGAAGTCTCGAGAGTCCAGCGCCCCGCTTTGTCCATCGTGAGGGGTACGCCGAGCCAATGCCGGATTTGGAGAATTTTACTGAGAAGAAAGACTCAGGGGCTGGATGGTGTAGCCGAACCCTTGGTTTTATGAGTATTCTTTCAAGTCGCGCGCATAATTTGGTGACTCTATTTGCAACGTATAACGGTCTGGTGGTTCATAATACCGCACCTCTAAAGGCTTATCAAATATGTCTTGTCGGTCTCACAATCCCCGATTTTCTTCTCTCTTCAGTGAAGATTGAAGGTGACCCATCGAATCCACAGGACTACGTGGTTGAGCAAAAGCGGCTTCGAGACTTCGACGGTCTCCAATCTGACAATGATGTGGCCGTCCGTGAAGCACTTATGAAATTCAGCTACTATTCGACAATTGGAAACATGGACGAGGCGTACCGATGTATGAAGACAATTAAGGATCAGTCGGCCTGGCAAAGCCTGGCACGGATGTGTGTTTCAACTGGTCGTCTTGACGTGGCTGCGGTGTGTCTAGCTACCATCAGCGATGGTGTGGCAGCGCGTGCTCTGCGAGAGTCCAAGGAGGACTACCCCAATGATAGAAATGTGCAGTTAGCCTCACTTGCCTGTAGCATGGGTCTTCTAGAGGAGTGTGAGCAACTGCTGCGCGCTTCAAAACAGTATGGTCTTATCACTGATGTATTTTTAGCATGTGGAAAGTTTGAACGTGCTCAACAGCACTCTGAGCGTTGTGATCGCATTCACATTAGGTCGGTAACCTACAAGTATGCCCAGTTTATGGAGAGTTTAGGTAATGTGGATGCATCGATTATATGGTATTACAATGCTCATTGCGCTGGGACGGATGTCCCGCGTATTTTCTTTTATAACAATAGATTGCACAAGCTTCGAGAGCTGATGGATGACAAGGATTCTTCTATGCAGACGTCACGGGCAGTGAGCATATCCAGTAACGGTCCCGATACGGTGTCCCCAGGGCCGCGCTCTGCGTTTGCTTCTCTTTTTCCCGTTAATAAAGACTTGCTCCAGTGGTGGGCCAGGTACAGCGAGCGTCGGTGCGACATTCAGGAAGCACTTTGGTTCTACAATTTGTGCGAGGACACCTTCAATCAGGTGCGTCTGCTGTGTAGTCTTGTGCCACCTAGAATTGACAAGGCTCTGGAGCTTGTTGACCGAGATATCGAAAAAGCTAATGCTAAATTTCAACGATACCAGCAACAATATGTCGACACTTCATTAAAGACAACGCAACAATCGGAGCCTGATTGCGTCGGCGCTGCCTTTTTTATTGGCCAGTACTATGAGAGGGAACGTAATGTAGACAAGGCACTCCAGTATTATCAGTACGCCGGTGCTTATTACAGTGGAGCACGTCTGTCTCGGGCAGCGGAACGTGATAATGATGCCTTCGAGTTTGCCTTTTCTAGCGGCGATGAGCGCTTAATGCTAGAATGTGCCCTTTATCTTTCCGAAAAGTGCATTTATAACAAGGCCGTTCAGCTCTATCGTAAGATAGGCGCTGTTCAGTGCGCCTTGGAGGGGTGTATCAAAGGTGGGCTTTTCGACACTTTACATGAAATCAGTAGGGAACTTGCAGACAGCGACATGGCTAGTGAGGAGGTATTCATGGGAATGGCTGACCATTTTCAATCTACAGGTGATTATAGTAAGGCGGTTGAAATGCTCGTTTTTGCGAAACACTACGATACAGCATTGGAGCTCTGTCAGGATCAAAATGTCATCTTGACAGAGGCCATGGCTGATTCTATAACTGGTCAAGGCAATAACTTGCCCGTGAAGGAGAAGCAGGAGCTTTTGCTTCGTATAGCCCGCATTGCAAAAGATCAGGGTCTCTGGAATTTAGCTTGTAAGAAATACACACAAGCTGGGGATAGGCTCAAGGCGATGAAAATGCTCATGCGCAGTGGTAACGTCGACAAGGTTATCTTTTTTGCTAACCACTCTCGGAACACCGAAATTTACACACTTGCTGGAAACTTTTTGCAGAATCAGAACTGGAGCACCAATCGCAATATCTACAACAGTATTGTTCTTTTTTATACTAAAGCGAAATCCTTAAACAGTCTTCTGAACTTTTACGATTCATGTGCGCAATTTTATATTGATGAGAACAGAAGCTATGAGGACGCCTTCCGTGTCCTGGATGAGTGTGTACACTCATTTGAAAAGTTAGCTCCTTCTCTATCGAATAGTGGAGACTTTTCACGCAATGACACAACCAAGCTTGCCAATCTCCAAGAACGCATGAAAATTGTGCAATCTTTTGTAACAGCTCAAAGGATAATGGATGGAATAAATCCTAAGGACCACATAGAGAAGAAAAAGGTGCAGGGTGACCAAATCATTAAGTTATGCTCCGATATAATTAAGAGCAGCCGGCCTGGAAATCCAGATCACGATCTTATTGAAGCATCGCTAAGAGTTGGAGATGTTTTCGCGCTCCTTGTGCAATTTTATTTTGAGAAATTAGGTGAATCTCGTAACGCTTATAAAGTACTTGAAAGTATGTCCAAACACAATATTGAGCCACAACTCTTCTTGGAAATCGACTTCATGGAGAAGGTGTGCCTTGCTAACTCTAAGCAGCTTAGTGCTCTGTTGCCGCATTTGCCGTCTGTTTCGGGCATTTCTTCCAAGATCGACCAAAATGAGTTCAACGGTGTAAGTGACATCGAAAGCAATGCGTTCAATAGTTAATATATATCTATATATTCAAAAAACACAGGGAATACAGTGGAAATGGAGAAAAGGGTGTGTACATATGTGCGTGCTGAAGTGGTGGAAATACATGTACAAGAGAAGATGGGACCTTTTCCTTTTCGCTATGGTTTTTTATTATTATTGCCTTTTAAGCCATGAATCCAAATTTACTTTTTGTTAGAAAGATCTTTCCGCTTGCCATTGGATGGTTTAATGTATTCATAGTGATGCCCATCGTGGTCATCTTTGTTAAATAATGTCCATGGAAAATTAGACCAAGAACTGTTCATTTTTATTTTTACTATGTTTTATTCAAGAGAAAAAATATGATATTTGGGATATGAACTGTTACAGAAGAAGCGCAATTATATTGCTTGGCTTTACTTTCTTACCTTGAGGCCTGTGTATGAATATCTTGCGATATTCCTATGTCGTTTATTATTATTATTATCCAACCCCATAATTTTCTCCCTTCAAGGCTCTAGCTGAGGCTGACAATTTACAGACAGAGAATTCCATGAGGGGCCTTCCTAATAAGGAGCAAACCATATTCCATGAGTATGAAAATACCCAGTTACCGCCATCTAACCGTTTTAAGTGTAGTTCTCAGATAGATCGCATTTCGCCGTTCTTCACATCATCCAATACCGTGGAGTCGTATCCATCCCCCAAACAATGTACTGTAATACCAGGGAGCGGTGTGGTACCTGACAAAAAAGCAACCTATCTGCTATCGGACGGACAAGAAAACCCTTGGATAGACGATGGGGCTCGTGGGCCACTCTTTCGTGTGGTGCATCCTCAGGGGTTTCGTATCCTTAAGGACAACAATGTTCTAGAACGCACCTTGCGTGGATATTTTCGCCTACCCCCGGTACCTAGTAAGCATTTGAGGCAGGAGCGTGAGCGTCTCCGAAAGGCATTGGTATCAATTGAAAGGCAGGAGCGTATGAAACAGTCTAAGAGAGGTAAAAATGAAAGCGAAAGTCACGGGGGTGTTGTGCTGGACGGTTTCTTTCTCTTAAATGCGGCTGGTACGGAAAACCCAGAGACAGTGGAAGCCGTTAATTTGCAGTGCTCGTACCTGACTAGTAGTATCCCTGAAGACTTATCTTATTTCACAAAGTTAGTGTTCCTCGATGTGAGTGAAAATTCTTTGAATGTGGAGGATCTGCTCGCCCTTACTTCTCTTGAGACTCTTCATATTGCATGTAACAGGATTTCATCCCTCACGGGAATCAGCCAGGCTTTGCAACAGCAACGACTCAATGGTGCCTCAGATGGCATTGAGTGTGGGTCTAGCACGACTGGTACGATGAACAGCTCCAAGAGTTTGTCTTTTCATGACGTTGTTTTACCTCATCTAACGGCGCTTAACCTTTCATACAATCGCATTCCAGCGAGCCACCTTTCACTGTTAGTACATTTTCCTTGTCTTGAGAAGCTGGATTTGAGCGGGAACGATATAAAAGTTTTGCCGACAGATCTATCATTTCTTACTGGTGTCACTCATTTTGCATTGGAGAACAATCAGTTTCGTTCACCCCTCCATGAAGTGGAAAAATTCGATGTATTCCAGAGTCTCTCAACTATGCCTTCCCTTGTCGAAGTGAACTTAAACTATAATCAGCTTTCCTACGTTCCTCCGCTTTCTACTCACAGCGGTCGTGGACTTTGTTTTCCTTCTATTGAAATTATGGGAGTCGCTGACAATCAATTCCAAACAGCTGAAAGTTTAGTAGAGTTGGGCCATCTGCATCGCACACTCAGACAGATTGTGCTTACGAATAATCCTATATGTTTGGATCCTCGTAATATTGAGATCCTCAAGGGGACCTTTTCGAGCATAGCAGAGGCTACTTTTTATAACCACGAAAAGCGGCATCGGATGTGTGATGATTTAGTTTCTCAGTATGGGAATGCCCCCAATCCAGAGGGCGTGCATTTGACCAGCGACGAGGACAGTGAAAGATGGATAGGGAAAGATTGGGTTCGCTTGATTTCACTACCTAACAAAGATTGTGGTCACTATTCTTTACAGAGCGCCGCAAGGGCGGCTGCCGTTGCCGCTGCCGAGGCTGAATCTGTTGATTCCCCAACCAGTAGCCCAGTGAACACAAGTGATAACGATGATCAGCGTACAGTCGATTCCCCACCATACTTTTCGTTTACACAACATAGTGATAATACGGCGCCAACGGAGCGGTCATCAATGCCTGATGGGAAGGAAGCTTTATTTTCTAGTAAGCGCTACGCAGAATCAGAGGGCGTAATGCGGTCTAAGACTTCTTTCACTAATTTAGAGGCGTATTTACATGCGCACCGAATCGAGATAGTTCTACATGATTCGTTCATGCCGAAGCAATCGTTACAGTATTTCTATGCTACTCACACTTGCCGTGCCGGACAGAACGTTCTCGTCACCATTCCACCTCATAAGGAGTTTATGGACATTTACCGTTTGACACGTCCCAAAGGAAAACAGTCTCGACGTAACCCACTTTTCCCTCGCAAGCGGTTGCCACAGACAGTGTGCCCACCTTTGTCTTCTGATATTTCGAATTCTGCGCAAACAGGGGATTCAGATGCTGGCAATGTTGTTTCAGATGAGACACATCCCACCTTACCAATTGGGACGTTTTCTGAACCCGACTCTACTCCAGCATTCTTTTTAACAGCAGTGGAAAGCCAGGTGGCTCAGAATCCTCAGGGGTCTCAACTTTCCCCCAACACTTCGACAGCCTTTTCTCGCTGTGATGTTCCCTCAGCGGAAGTACCGAAACATGGCAAAACGAATGTCAAATCAACAACTCGTTTGCCACCTGTAATTTCACCTAGCTCTATGAATGTCCACAGAGCCCTTGCGGAACTGAAGAATCTCCTACGTAAGCCTCTGCCGTCCTTACCATACAGCTCTGGACATCATGGATAGGGTCTTAAGTGCAGGTTTTAGAAACTAGAAGTAACAACGTTAGCCTTATTACTTGTGCATGATGTAAAAATAATCACTGATATGGAGGTCTTGTAGCAAAAGTATATGTATTTAGATTATTAAGAATCATATTTTTATTAGTATACTGTAATTTTGCTTACTTTTTATTGTACCAAGGGGAGGTGGGAAAAGATCCTTTGCATGAGATTAGGATTAGAATGAACATTGTGACATGTGAACTTTACTCGTAACATTGTGTTTTCTTCTGCCTGGTGGGCGCATTCTGTTATCCCCATAATCCCTATTATTAGTGACATCTAATGAAATGCAGTATCAAGCCACATCTGTGGTGTTTTTTTTTGGGGGGAAGAGAAGCTCAAATTTTATGATTACATAAACCATTTATTCATCCATCTTTTTTCATTATTTTTTCCATTTGGAATAGAAAAGGGAAGTGAGGCTTGGAGAGAAGTTTAACATTTAGGATCTTTTCTCGGCAACATGTAGGGTTCTAATAGCAAAATGGGCCATAACATTTACGCAGCTGTAGATCGTGGACTGGTAACAAAGGGATTTCAATTCTTTGTTTTGTGTGTGGTTGAGGGCTCAGAGTACACCGAGGCAAGTTCCTTGCTTGCGCATACTTAACTATTCTTTGGCCCAGATTAATCCTTTCTTATTACCCTCAACGGCAAAAGACGAGTCAAGCAGTTGGGACTGCGATGGCGATGAGGTCTATTCTACTTAAAGCATCAATGCCGACGTAACTACACAACTTTACGGGTTCCCAATAAACCTTTTTACATATTTTGTGTAAGCTACACCTTTTGAATTAACATTACGCAATACCAACTCACATTATTGGTCACAGCTGGTTTTCATGTTTTATACAATAAACAGTAAATTCTTGAATTTATTTGCATCCAAAGCATATGACAACCATCATGATATTGAAGATAAAATGATTGGTTACAGCCACTGCTTTGTACACATCCAGAGTAGTCACCATAGATGACAACTGAGAATATTCCCATTTTATAATGCGACAAATATCCTGTATAAACTGTCGGGTTTGTGGGAAGCCAACTTCGACTAATGCACAATCACTCATTTTTATGTGAATAAATTTTCCTTTAAACTTGTACTGACATCCCCATGGATTTTTTTTCCTTAAATATTTATGTCAATGAAATTAAAGTTCTAAAAATGTGGTCGTTTAAAGGATTAACAGTAGATTTATTTGTTGTAAACTTATTTACTCGGATTTTAATATTAAACGCTATTAAAATGGCACACTTTTTAAATCATTGTTTCGTGATTTCAAAAATGGGGAAAATATTTTAGTAACTCAGCATTCCTCCTTTCAAGCACAATTTAACACATAAAATGGAGATGGCATTTCCCACCATCTATATTGTCTGTTTTTTTTTGGATGATATTACATATATATATATTTTAATACATTTTCCTTTAGCGTATTTCCTCCCCTATATAGGAACCACATCCTTTTTTCGCAGGGGTTCTTATTTTTTTTTGCAATAGGTTTAGCAAACTAGATACTTTATTTATTAGAGTTCTTCATACTTATCCTAGCCTCTTTAATTGGGATAATTATTAATCTTTTTCTTTGCGGTTGTCCTACAGCCACATTAAGCATACATACACAGACGGATATCTATCTATCTATTCATCTATATATATAGATATTTGTTTGTAACATTTTTTTATATTTTTTTCTAATATACAGAAATAAAGAGAATCCAATACTGTTTTGAAAAAAAGTAATCCCATGGATAAATATCAGAAAGTTCGTGTTCTTGGAAAGGGAAGCTTTGGTAGTGCAATACTTATCAAACGCAAGGTGGACAATGCACTGTTTGTTGTTAAAGAGGTTTCATTGCTGAAAATGTCCAAAAAGGAGCGGGATGAGGCACGGCATGAGTGCACAATCCTTCAGAAGCTTAAGCATCCTAATATTGTGCGCTACGTCGAGCAATTTGAAAATCAAAGGAGCCTGTACATTGTAATGGAATACTGCGACGGTGGGGATCTAAACGCTAAGATACGACAGTCGCGTCTTCCTATGAAGGAATCGACAATTATGTATTATTTCTCACAAGTTTGCCTGGCGATGGAATATCTTCACTCGTACCACATGCTGCACCGCGACATTAAAACGATGAATGTTTTTCTCATGAAAAACGGCGCTGTTAAGTTGGGTGACTTTGGTATCACTACTATCCTTCGCAATACGATGGGAATGGCTAACACAGTCTGTGGCACACCTTATTATTTTTCCCCTGAGTTGTGCCGCAATAGGCCATATAACAACAAAAGTGATATCTGGGCATTAGGTGTCCTACTGTATGAGTGTGTTACTTGCGGACGGCATCCCTTTGATGGCAATAACATGAATCAGCTGATGCATCGCATCGTCACTGTGCCATGCCCGGCAATTACCAATCAATATTCACCCGAGTTCCGCAAAATGGTTTTCTGGTGCCTTGAAAAGGACCCCTTAAAGCGGCCGAGTATCAAGCAACTTCTTTCCCTTCCACTTGTTCGTCGATCTTTGGAGCAGCTGGAGGAGAACCTCATGCTAGCGACTGAATGCCGTGTGCGTCTGAAAGATATCATCGATTTTGAGGTCGTCTCACCTAGCAGCGAAAACTCCAACGAATGCAAGGGCGACAAAAAGACGCCCTACCCCGCACCCCGAGCGGATCAGAAAAAAATGAAACAAACTCCGGGCCTCACCCCTGGCCAGGCGGCAGCCATGGCGGTGGTGCAGCAGTCACCACCAAGAAGCTCTCCTGAGTCGAAACCTGTTTCTGACATCTTGGGACCCAAGCCTAAGGCGGTTAATGCTAATGCCAATCAAAACAATGTGAACCACGCCTCTCCAAGCAAGCCCCATCAACGCAACATAATAGATAATCTTCATCAAATGCGTGAGAGGCTCAACGCTGCTGCTTTAGCAGAAGTTGCACCGTACCCTAGGAGACCTTCTTCCCCAAATAACCGAAAGCTATTTCAACCTAATTTTGAGCCAGTGGACAGGTCGGAAGAAATCACTCCTGTACGCGACTCACCTTTGTTCTCTGAGTTTCAACCAAATGTTCAGCGTATAAAGGCTATTATGGCTAAATACGAACACAATGCGAATCCTCAGGCAAAGGAAACCATTCACGCCTACATGCGCCGCAAACAAGAGGAATACTTAAAGAAAAAAAAAGAAGATTTGGAGAGGCGCAAACGCTTAAACGATCTCCGAGATAAAGAGCTTCAATGCATTTTAGCTCAACAACGTCATGCCGCACTAGGTGCAGCGAACAATGCTTGTGCGAATGGCTACAATGTCAACAATAAACCAATTAAGGATGCATACTCACCAGCACCACTGTCACATGAGGCACGAGTTTTACCCCAGGATAACCGTGCGGCTCCTCCTCTTACCTCTTCCCCTTCTTCTCCCTCGAAGAATGAATATCGATCTGCGGCCGCACGTCCTTCACTCGCACAAGAAGGTGGTCTCCCCCTTCGCACTCCTGGTCAGTGTTTGGAGCGGGTGCTTGGTCTGGATCCTAAATTTGCGCCTCATATTCCCGTGAAAGCCGCTTTAAAACATAATACCCCACCTTTAATGGCTCACCAGCAGAAGGTGAAGGTTGCAGCGAACTCTCCGTTACACGTGGATAAGGCTGCCTGTCCAAAAGCAAAGCCAGCAGTTGGAAAACGTAAGGAGGGACCGCCTCCGTCTGAGCAACCAAAAGTATTTCCAAAGAACCGTTATTCTAATGGTAATGCATTAAATCGTTTGGATCATAAGGCTCAAGAGGTAGTTAATCGTGAGGCTGGACCGAGGAAGTATCCCATACCGCGTCCTTCCTTCGCGATGAACGCAGAGGCTTTAAATAAAGGTAGTAATTTGCTTGATAAGGCTGCCACTCCGAAAGGAGGAGCGGAAGATGCTATAGTTGTTACAGGCACTCGGGTGTCGCAGTTCCGATCGCCCCCAATACGTCAGATTCGACCCGCCAGACCGGCTGTGCTAAGTGCTTTACAGGATAATAGGAAAGATGCTGAGCGCGCTGTATCTCATGTGTCTCTGCCCTCGACACCTACCAGTAACCTCAAAGCTGAGAAGCGTTCTCGTTTCTCATTTAATTCAGAACTTCGACCACATGTCGATGCTCCTGTCGCGAGACTCCGAAAACGAATTCCCTCCTCCCCTACTTTAAACCCGAAGAGTCTCGCTGCGTTACCGCCCGCCGCACCACACTCTGCTAATGGCTCGGTAGAGAGAGGAGTGAAATGTCTTTTCAAACGTCTCATTTCATCCGATGAAAAATCCGACTCAAGCGATATTCAAGCGCATAATTTATCCATTGCATCGTTCATACCGAATCGAATAGTCAATGCGGTTCAGTCTTCTGATCAACTAGTCAGTGATTCAAATGTTACTTTGGTGAAGTCTGTAGAAAATGATAACATAAGCCTTCAGGCTTCCAAGGCAAGTCCATTTCAACCAGTGCAAATGAGCGCCACTCCTTTAAAAGTATCTGCGCTTGAGACCAATAATATTCTGGACAGCATTTCAGAGGCTGAGTTAATTAATGTAGCGCACACCGTTAAAAGACGAACTCCGGTGCAAGCCACGCCTTTAATGAAGATGAAAAAGAAGAATTTATGCTTGTCAGACTCCAATTCTAGTGATTCTACTATTCAAAGCAAGAAGACTAGTCAGATTGATGTTAAACCTGTTTCCCATCCCGTTTCTGATATCCGCCCTCATCACATTCGCTGGCCTTTATCAGATGAGGCGGCAAAGTGCATGGGCATACTGAAGGGATCTGACATTCCCGCCGCTGAGGTTGAGTTTCATCCACTTAAGGAAGTTAACGAAAAGACTGAGAAGCGAGAAGTCGTCATGCCCAGCATGCTCGAAACCCTTCGCACCTTGCGGAGCAAGGTTTCACCTCATCCTGACTGCACTTCCGTGGATCACTTCTCAAATCAGCTAGCCTTACTTAAGCAACGACAGCGACTTGGTGTAGAGCGGTCTCAGTTTATTAACAAAGATAATGATATCATAGAGACGAATTTGAAATCCAACGAGCGGTCCCCTGAACCTACTCCGGAGAAGACTTCATCTCTTCAAAACTCGCCACGCAAAAAACCGATCCTAAATATTGAGGTCACTTCCAGCAGCCGTTGCACAAATGCCGAACGTAAGACTTCTGTTTCGTGCTCGTCGAACCGAGATTTGGAGACTGACAAGCGACGCACAAGCTTAGTTGAGGGTTATGAGGAGATGTTACAGCACTTGAGGAGTTTGTTGGAAAAGCGGAGGGTGTCGTATCGTAATATCCGTAAAATTAACAGCAATATCAATGACAGCGTTAGCAGGTCATTAAGCCCTGCAAACCTATCTGATGAATATAGGGGCAATGGTATATCTAGCAACGAGATCAAACGTCCCTCATTTGGTTTGGTATCGGGTTCTCCGCCTCGTTTGCTTAACACAAAACCTAGAAAAAGCTCCCGAAACTCATTGTTGGCGGACGTGGATGAATTATCCGAATCCCTTCATATTCATGAGGATTCTGAGGATCTAAATGGAGAAAATGACAATTTTGAAGACGCCGTGCCGCTTTCACCGGTCCGTTGTGCCGTGAGAAACGACATGTACACTCAAATGTTACAGCAAAACATAATTAAAACCACAGAAGTTAACGCCGAAAAAACAGATGTTAGCGACATTTTACACTTAAATGATGTGATTCATAGCCAAGATGGGATGCCGAGAAGGGGTTGCACACGCTGCTAGAGTTCCCTTTCGTTACATCAAAACATACACTGTGTGGGCTTCTATCTTAGTGATTGTTGCTTTTTTCCCTCCTATAAACCAAACATTTATTTCATCTACGCTGCTATTATTCACCTTTCATATTTATGACACTTGATGGATTCATTAAGGTTATTGAGGGGATTTTTCACTTTTTTATTATTGATTTATTTTGCTGTGTTGTCTAGTGTAATTAGTTCAGAGAGTGTTAAGTACTCCACTCTTTCCCCTTTCTTTGTGTATGCTTGAGTTTAGAAAGTAGCTGATTCATATACTAGAAACTTGGACGTGGTTTCTTATTTTCTTTTGCATGCTTGATTAAATCAATGAACGGTAAACATTGCTAAAGTGTTCTTTCCAATCGAACATTTTTAGAAAAAAAAAGCTTGTATGCTCTCCTTTTAAAATGCGTTTTATGACGCTTTTTCACTACAAATTCCAGAAAACGCATACATATATATATTATGATAACTATCGTGGAACTTTTGATGTTCCTTCATTCTTTCATTTATGAATTATGTGCTAGATTGCCCTATTCCTATATAGTTTCATAGATACCAGTTGTCGGTTTCATCGAATTATCAAATTCACTAAGAAAACAGTAAATTTAAGCATTGCAACTCAATATGATCTATGATCTTGCTTTATAATTACCATTTCTAAAGAATGGAAGACTAAATTTAATTATTTATTATGCGCGGTCTTTTTAAGCTTTACGCGTAATCAAATTAGATGCTCGATTAATTTTCAATAGCTTATTTTAATTCTGTGGTAGCAATTTATTGTGTTTTGAGTTTATAATAAAATAGCTCAAGTAGTTTTTTTTTCAGTGATATATCTTTGTTTTATGCGATACACTGTGAACGGACACTGAAGGATCCCCAATACGTGGCTGTAGCACGGGTTACTATGAACGGATTTCGTCACAAGCATCTTATCATTGGTGACAGCGACGAGGACAGCGACGATGTAAAGGGCATTGGTTGTCGCGAGCTACCTAGCGGCGGTTATGGTGACGCCTTTGATCCAAGGGGCACCATCCAAGCAAAGGGCTTGGTTACACCTCTTGTATGCTTGGATGCACAAAATAATGATCAAGGTCTCAACACCGATGAACACTTAAAAATTGTAGAGAATAGCGATGCGGCTTTTTTGAATACGACATCTTATGTTTCTAACCCATCACTGATTCCATCTCGTGTGAATCATGATGTTCTTAATGGTGCAGCATGCGGAAAGGCTGGTGAAACCACAGATGCGTTAACCTCAGTGCGACCTACCACCGATGACTATTTTTCTTTGGTAACTTCCAAGAATGTTTATGCGAATCCAGTTCCCCAAGACGCAGTTTCAAAGATATCGACAAAAGCGGACTCACCGCGAGGCTTCCTCGGAGCCAACAACACAGAATCAGGAGTTCAATCCAAGAGCAAACAAAAGGCAAAGTTCCGAAGAAAGATCCATAAAGGGATTAAACAACATGATAAAGATGTTTTTTTTGGCTCACACAACCACAAGGAAAGCACGTCATCCAGCCTGATTAGCATTGATGCCCCTCCACCTCCAGCGCGACTTCCCGAACGCGCCCAGAAGGCTGCTTTGAAATATTCCAGACTTTCAGATCCTTTTGCTGAATCGATTATGATTCCCCCAAATGTACCGCCACGAAAAAAAAGTCAATCGATCGTTTTTTTAACAGGTTCTTGTCACTCTAAAACCCCTTCCGATGGACTGCATGTTGAAAATAAGAGTGACATGTCCCCTGTATCTGTCTCCTTTCAGCCATCAGCTCCCGCTGAAATCGGTAATCTAACCGCTGACGCTATCGCTAAGCGGGGGGAAATTTTTATCTCACAGCGACGGCCCGCAATTCCATCCCACTCGGAACTCAAAACGGAGTCGTCGCATTATGATATCGACAATGAGGGTAACGTGACGTTCATTGTTCCGGCTTCTGTGCGCAGAGTTCTCAATGCCGATGGATGTATGGTTTGGGCTATTCTTCCAAGTCACCGAGAAAATGACTCCTTTTCGATATGTGAAGTAGGTTCTCCGCCTAACCGTCTTTCTCGACGAGCAGAAAGCTATATTTCATCAAAGTGTGGCGTCAAGGCGTGTGCGCAAGATAATATAATTAAGGATAATGAACTGGAGGTTGATGTCGAAATGGGAATGCGAGTAGAAGAAATCCATAAGAACTCTTTCACAAGTGCACCATTGCAGCGTCAAGACTTCACTCTCCCCAGTACATCCCACTTCAGTAATGCGAGCCTCCAGAAAAACATTGAGAATATCTTGGCCACCAATAAGAACTGGACAGTCTACCCTTATAATAATCAGGCGCTCTGCAAATCTTCGTGGAAGGCTCTTATGACTGGCGATGCTTACCGTAGAACTGAGAGGTTGGTGCGTCTCCTGCAACCTATCCAAACTGGACCTCTCTCTGATAAAGAGAATGAGTGCAAATGCATAGTTTACGTTAACAAAAACGAAGCAAAGTTGTCAGAACTTCTATGTAGCCCAAACAGTCTAAAGGAATCGTTTGAAAAGTATTTGAACATGCAGCCCATGCAGATTGACAATCCGAAGCTTGGAAAAGTTGCTGAAGTCTTGTCTGATTTTTCCCATTCTTTACAACTCCACTCCTTACTTTCCAAACCTGTGGGAGGGGCAAGGATCAATACATTGGACAACACCCCCAAATTTGTAGGTGATCTTTCTTGCACTGTTGAGCCGCTATGCGAGGATGGTCCTTCCGACCGCGTCGCCCAAACACTACCACAACGAATCATGCGACTCTGCGGTGGGTTGGTCTTCGGGATACCCTTAAAGGACAAAGACGTTCGAGCTCACGACGTGAGGTGCTACGAGCTATTTCTGTTTCTGCCGGATAGTTCCACCTTCACTGCATACAACAGCAGTCCAGGCTGCTCTACTTTGGGGCAGCTTACTTCGCCACCTATTTCATCTTTTCCACTAACCCCGCGTATTATCAGCGACCCTATGGAACTGAAGGCCTGCGGGGAAAAGTTAAGGCTTTCAGGTGGCTTTGGACAAGATGATAAAGTGTCTTTTGATGACTTTTCTGAAAACATCTCCAAGGGAATGCAGTGTCTCACGCTAACACTGGCCACACTAAATATACGCAAGAAACACACCATTGATTTGACCTTGGTGATTTTTCCATATCGAGCATGTTCCAAAACTGATGATGGTAAGGTTCTGGCGGAGTTACCTCCCTTTTCTTCTGACACCGTTCTGAAGGGCTCACGGATGAGAGCTATTTCGTTATCTTTCTTAACGAAAAGTGCCTTTATGAATGCATACATGTCATTACTCTGGGCCACTGAGTGCAATATTATTCATCCCACGTGCCATTCTGGGGGTGATTCTAACAGCAACGTCAAGAACTCATTGTTGTCTTTACGTGTGAAAGCGACGCTATCACCGCTAATGCCGTGGTCAGCTTTATATGGAAAAGCTGATTCATTCGCCGAATTTTCCAGTATTTACCGGGCTCATTGTACAAAATTTGCTGCTATCGCACTCACTGCTTCTATGGGTAATGCACAGTCGGCTGCTATTTCTGTTCGCAATGCTTTCAAGTTCGAAGATTTTGTCATTAAAAAATATACTAGTGGGGATGATTTATTGAGCAAGAAGAAAATTAATGGTGACAAACAGAGAGCTGCCACACAGATCAAAAGTTCTAATATTGTTTACAGCTCAATATCACTACAACAGCATTGCCGAACTTTCATGGATAGTGAATGCTTTGATCAAATTAAGGGCGATGAAGGAGACGCTATCGTGGGCTACACCCCTTTCGGCATTGTGTACCGTGTATTAAGTCAGAAAACCCAGGAAATGTTCGACATTCAAGTGATCCCTCGGAGGCATGTCTTTCTGAGACTTACACTTGAAGATATGCAGCATGCGAATGCGATTGGGAAGGCCGTTGAGGTGAACCTTCAACAGGACACAGATGCCATCCTTTTGTTGAAATACATCTCGTGTTTGCCATTTCAGCCTCGTGTTTATGATATCTACTCGGATAATCGGTATTACTATATCCTCCAAGAGCCATGGTTGTCAATTCTTGCGTTGGATCAATCCATAAAAGGTGTGGAACATCGGAAAATAGTGAAATGCAATCCATTGCTAAGGCAGGTTCATGACTCCACTTTAGTCATTTCATTAAAGGATTTTATACATGCAACCTTAAACCCGCTTCACAATGGCAGTTCCAAAACTTGGGATACAATTGAAGCGCGACTTCAAATCATACGACTTCTTATCGCTCAATTGCTGCTTCTTATTGCATCTCTCCACGGCAAAGGCGTTCTTCTTGGTCCTTGTTCCACACACCGTGTTCTTGTTCAAATCAACCCGCCGGCGTTTGAGTCTACAGCTCCTGAGGACTCCCGCCCAGACGACAATTCCATGCTAGGGACGTCGAGCTCTAGGCGAAAATCCATCACCAGTAAGAGCTTATCCCTTTTTGTCCCTGGTATCGGCCTCCATACTTCGGCATGGACCTACGAGAGACAACAGTGCGGCGCGCTGGAATATGTTCCGCCGATGCATATCATTGAAGCTCTGATAAGCGGTGATACGGGCATGGAAGGCTGTGCGTGGACCATGCAAGATGACTGGTGGTCCCTCCTTTCTATTTCTTTTGAATTGCTCGCCACTGACGGCAGTACCCTTGTGTGTCCGGAAACGAAAGGGGCCGAATCCCTACCCACTGCACGCGCATCACTTAATAGTAAATTTGTTTCAGCAAATCACATCCTTGATGTTTGGAAGGGTGTCCTGACCCACCCTGAAATCTCTGTTAACACCACGTCAGAAGCCGTTAATGCGGGAATTCGGAACTATGTACAGTGCCGAGTGCTTGAATCGGTAGCTCCTGGATTGGATAGTTGGTTAGCCAGCAAAGTGGGTGAAGCGAAGCATGACAATTCTAGAGGCATAGGGCTCAAGCAAACAAACAATGATGGATCTACCATGCTGTCACCCGAAGGATTCAAAGATAGATTAAATGTATCTGACGTGAACTTAACTCCGAAGGATAACAAATTTGAGGAAGCATCGTTGTGTCTTCCCAAAACCGATAGTCAAAGTGTCATATCATGGATTATTTTTTATCGGGACTGGTTCGATAAAGTTATGGACGTAGCTCTTCCTTACTTTATGAATCCTAAATGTGCTGTACATGCACCTTTGTTGTACCTTCTTTCGCATCCGTTCCTGGGTGGGATGGATATGGGTGCAGTGTTTAATGGCAACTACAGGCTGCTGCCTGCGGCCGAAGAGTTTATTCACAAGTATATGGGTAAGGCCAAGTTACGCCAGGCTCTTTTCTTATACCGCACACACTCCTACCGACCACTTATCACAAATCAGCAAAATGGGCTGCATATAAGACCTAGGCCGAACGATGGGATGGGTATCAAAGGCATACAAGGGCCACAGCGGCCTCCGATTATACATCGCTCCATGGAAAAAAGAGTAAGAACGCCTGATGTGGTCGAGCCGCTCCTTCAGTTTGAGCTTTTGTCACACCGAGTGCAGGTGCTACACAGAGTTCAAGGAGGTCTTTTCCAGTCTTTGTATACCCCTGATGAAATTGCCTCCATTAATTGGTTGGAAAGGGAGGTGGATAGTGCTCTGCACCCGCATGCCGATGAAGGGTCAGCGCATGGTTCACCTTAATATAAGTGGGTTTCTACTTCTAGTGGCATTTAGTATGATACAAAAGTGAGTAGTACCGTTAGTGGTAATTACATTATTGTGAGGGGAAGCAATGGAACCCTTTGAACACCATCTAGTATCCAAACAATTACACACATGATCTTGGTGCTCTTGTGCACATTGGTACCGCCTATGGGCTTATTACATGACCATCCCTGTGACGAATTAAAAGCAAAATTCAAACCCATCAGTTGACGAAGTAAAGATAGACTCTTTCTTGCGTTACACAGCTATTGTAATGCAATTCAACGTTAATTAGAAAGATCCTTCAGTTGAAAAATACAACAGTTTAGAAAACTCAAACGTTTAGCGTGTAGCGCCAGAAAGACGCACTTTGGCAGTGAGTGGTCAGAATGTGAACCCCCTCCTTCCAAGGCGACGAAAAAGGGTAATGAGTATTTTTCTGTCAGAACATTCAATTCTGCAGCTACTCATAACGGAAATCGGAAAAACGCCAAGTGGAAATTTTTAGACCATCCTATACCACTCAAAGTCATCTCAATATTACTTGCTTCGAATAATGAATAGATAGCTCAAAATCCCCAGAGTCGCTCTCCAAAAAATATGTATAAAGATGAAAGTTTCACGGTTCTTGTTCCTTCAGATAGTAACGACAACGATGAAAATCCTCATTAACTGTACACTGCGATCCCGTATTGCCATTATTACATAAGTGATTCTAATAGAAGATACCCTCAATGAGGTGGCGCTAGGTGTTTTTTCCTTATTCATATCAGAATATTTTTATATGTATCTCTTTAGTAACTAGAGTAATCATACCCGAAATAAAACAATTGAATGCTAGAGAGGGGTGATATAAAAACAACAGTTGTGTGACCTCTTATAGTTGCGTCACCAAGAATAAAATAACAGAGAGCGATCACTTATACACTTTTTGTTTGACTGAAAGACATTAATCTAGCATACTATTAGTATATATATATATATACATTATGATTAGACCCTGTTTTCAGCTTATTTTCTCTTACTATATATTTCTTTGGCTTTAGTATGTGGGGTTTATCTTTTTCAAAAAAATCTATTTGTTTATATTGTGACTATTATCTTGTTACCATTTTTTAGATTGATACACTCGACGTTTTAGAAAATGATACAAAAACCTTCTTTAGAGAGTTTTTTTTTGATATCATTCTCGATAATCCAATTTTTCATCAAGTACCCAAATAGTCAGCGATGTGAATTGATCATTTTCCTTTCCCATTTCAAGTACATCATTTGAGGTGCATTTTTATTATCTACACCATTTGTCTCAGTAGCTTAGGTTTACGTTTTTAAGTATATTCTAGGCTGTTTATCTCTGTTATCAGTATTCTTTCCATTTTTTTTTTTTTTTGATATAAGTTTTCATTGAATTAACAGACATACACGAATTTGGGCGTTACTGGAAAAAAAAAGACGCAATTTCACTGGTTCAAATGGATATCGATTTATCCAACAGGAATATCCCGGAGCTGTGTTTTGACGAAGATGCGATTACCCAAGAGGAGGCTCTTGCCACGGCCGCTGTAGGGGCTTTGTCGGTCACGAGGAACCGAATCACTCGAATTCAAGGGCTTGATACAGCTTTCAGCAATTTGACGAGACTCGATCTCTCATATAATGTATTAGGTACAGGGACAACCTTGGTACCTGCTTGCTTTGCAATGGCGGAACGAGGGCCTACTACAATGCACGGGCACGACAACTACTGTGAAGGTATTGCACAATGGATTGTGGCGCTCCCTCGAACACTAGAGTCCCTTGATGTCTCACATAATTGCCTAAGCAGTTTTGCATATTGCTCTTGTACTTCTAATGGTAGGTCACTTTCATCATCAACAGTATCTGCTGCTGCACCATCTGATTTCTATATTCGCTACTTGAGACACGCATGCCCACTCACGTTGAGTTTATTTTTCGACTCCCACCGTTTTCCAAAATTACATCATCTGAACTTATCTCATAATGCTCTTGGAGTGAGTGTTTCTGAAAGCGATGCAATGGAGGGCATCTGGCAGCGTACTTTTCCCAAAGTGTTAAAGATGGGCTCGGTTGGCTGCTACACATGCGCTGTTGAGAACTTAAATGTTTCTTATAATACAGATTTGTCATGCGTTAATTGCTTTTTGTTTAATGACTACCCACCTAAGAATGACAGTGGCACGTCTTTGCCACCATCGTCGTTGTTTGGTTTGGACACATTGGACTTGCGAGGGTGTAATATAAGTGATTTGGTTGGCTTGTCTGGAGTTTGTCCCTTTGCACCGCGTTTGCAGCGTCTGGAGCTGGATGGATCTCCCATCAAGGAGACTATTTTGGGTTCTAACCACACGGTCATAGTCAACATTATCAAGTCGCTAATACTGTCGGCTTCCATGGAATTCACTTGTCATACATCTGAATATGAACTGGAAGGTACAAACAAAGCCTCATATCAGAATGTGGCGCTTCGTAAGGTAGTACAGGATCTCACCCAGAACCACGGGGACCTTTTTACGGAGTCTCTTAAAAAGCATCTGGCATCTTCAACCTCCTCCGAACGGGCCATCGACCTTGAATCCTGTGCATATGCTTCAGTTTTGTTGGAGGTAATTCCGAGTCTAAAGCTTCTTGATGGATCCCTTCATGTCGTAGAATGCAAAGAAGCTATTATCAATGCAACACAGCGCACACTAGTAATGTTAAGCTCAACCCGTTATACGCATCCCTCCAATGTCACTTCCCAACCTACGACAGCCTCACTCAAGCCGATGGACGCTCCAGACGCTGATGAAACTCGGATCGGCGAAGGCCTCCACCGTATCGCCTCCACGGTGATGCCACAGCTCCATACTCGCGTTTGGATCGGCGGATCCCCATCGTCGCAGGACCCGGAAACCACGACGCCACTTTCCGAACGAACCCAAGAGGGCTTGATGGCGCACGAAGGCTGCGTTAATGTGGCACAAGAGGGACGCCTCGTCGAGGTGCCGCTGTGCCCCATGTCCCTTCCCCTCGGTGATGGCGACACGGCAGCCTACGATGCGTTGTGTCAGCGATCTCAGAAACTAAAGAGGGAGCTTCTGGACAGTCAGAAACGCTGTCGCAGTTACACGGAACAAAGCAAGGAGCTGCAATCTCAACTTATGGCTGACCGGAAGCACATTACTGACCAACACCGAGACATCCTTCGGCTTCGCGCTGAACGAGATTTAACACAGGCTAGCTTGCTCGCTCTTAAAAAACGTCTCAAGAAGCGTCAGCATGAGTTAGCGTACGGAGTGCAGGCGCTTGAGTCCCGATATTCCAGTATGCGCAAACAAGCGGCAATGAATCAAATTAACCAAAGGGAGAAAATCCTCAAGAAAAAGGAAAAAAACTTGCCGAAACACAAAGGGACTTCTCTACTTTCCACCATCCGCGACAACTGCCAATCCCACCATGATAACTCAAGACAGATTCGAAGTGTGGTGCTTCGTGAGGCAGCGATCCAAAAGAAACTACGTTTACAAAACGATGATGATCCACTAGGATTCAGTACCAGTCGTTTTCATATTGGGAATGGCAAAGCAGGTGGGAAGTATGCTAGTCATGAAATTAATTCTGCCTCAGGTGCGAACAACGTAGAGGACGATGAATCCCATCATTATTTGCGTTCATATCCTCAACAAAAAAAAATGGAAGCTCAAAAAGCCGCTCATCGATATTGCGGCCGCATATCTTCGAATCAGTACCGCCAGTTGTGCGAGGCCATCCGCCTAGCAGACCCTTCCAAGGCGTCACCCTCGGCAAGCGGTGAGCTTCCGTCGGGTAATGTTTCGGCTGTGGAAGCCAGTAAGGCGTCCAATGAAGGCGCCGCCGACTTACGTGGCCTTGCCGAACAGAATCTTAGCACGCTTTCGCTAACAGAGCTATTCGAGGCGGCAGCGTCCATTCGGCATCGGCAATTAGCACTGCAGCAAGTTAGTACTTCGGCTTTTCAGGAAGCCAACGCTTTACAGCCTGCTATAAATACTGCATCTTTTGAGGCTTCCACTATTATACATGCCACCAACACTGCTTTACCAGCTTTTTTTAAGCAAAAAGTTTCATCGCAAATTATAGATGAGTTATATAATATAAGCGATCACCGGCTCACCGCTTCCGATGTTCCAGAAAAGTTGCATGCACTTAGCGCGAAGCATGATGATTCCGTCTTTTTAAGCGCACTGGATCATGTTGAAATACCATCTTCTATTTCTCTTGCTGGGGACAATGATATTGAGACTGGTGGTGTTGATGCACTTGATTCTCTCAATGTCTTTGGGGGAGACGAAAGTATCGACAGCCATCACTCTCCGTCCAAGGCTAATAGTATGATCCATGCTCTCGTAAATCAGAATTCAGTTAATCGAGGTCTATTCTAACATTTTTTACTCTTGCAACTACGACGAAAAAGCTACTGCTATGCTTTGGGGAGTGCAACACGTACTGGTTACATAAAGTTACAGTGATCTGCTAGATAGATATAGAGAAACTATCGTCTTCCAAATCAGTATCCTGATTTTTTCCTCCTTTTGTTTATTTTTCAAGACAATACTCATTAAAATTCGAGTCAAGAACATATATTGTCATTTTTTTTCTGATGTATTTATAGGATTATGCATTTTTATATTGATTTTTTTTTCCTCCTTCACATTTCTTATTTCTTTAATAATTCCATTATCTCATCAAGAATTACTACTAGAGCTACCTTGTTTTCTTACCCTATTATTATTGTGTATACTTTTTAACTTTTTTTAAACTTGCGGTCTTCAAAAATGTCTGATTCCGATACCAAAGCTCTTATCAAAAGCGTCGACATGACTGAGAACATGCAGGCCGACGTTATCGAGGTTTCACTCCAAGCGCAAGAACAATTTAACGTTGAGAAAGATATCGCAGCATTTATCAAGAAGGAAATCGACAAAAAATATCAGCCAACTTGGCACTGCGTCGTGGGCCGAAACTTTGGCAGCTATGTTACACACGAAGCCAACTGTTTCATCTACTTTTACATTAAGCAGACCGCTATTCTTCTCTTCAAGGCAGGTTAAAGGACACGAACGAAGTAACCCTTCGTTTTTGTTATTCGTCCTCTTAACTAACACAGCAGTAGTAGTTTTATAATAGATGCATTTTGATTTACTATCAGAGAACAGAGGTGTATTATCATTATTTTAAGAAAAATAAGAAAAAAAATAAATGTAAGTCTAGGTTGTGTGCTCTTTTCATTTTGACTTTTTGTCGTATGAAAAAAATAAGAGGACGAATTTTGTGCGTACTATATGCAACAATTGCAGTAAAATCGCAATCTAGTCTTTACACCTTAATAAGTTTTATGAAGCGAAAAAAAGCGATATATGTTAGGCTGCGTTGTATGGTGGAATAGAAAAAAAATGTATTTCATTCTTTTACCTGTCCGTAATATTTTATGTTTTAAGATGTGATGTATATAAAGGTGACTAATCGGAAAGCAATGACAACCATTGGAGGAAGATATATAGCTCGAAGATCGTAGGCTTCGCGACTGAGGTAGCTTAAATGTTTGGGAAAGGGTTTAAAACATACAACAGGGGCAAATGTGCATGTACTTTTTCCATATAGGAAGACGTTTTTAAAACGAACATGCTATTTATTAGAAGAAACAATTTTGCCTTTTTAATACCTGTTTCTATTCATTCAATTTACTTTATTTTCCAAAACTGGTTTTCTCACGGCAAGAAAAAATATATATTAACATCACTACCCCAGGTGAAATAGAAGTTTACTGAATTTTTGGATGATGCTATTACTCTCACTTTCATTTCTATATTAACTCCTTTTTAGATTTATATCACGTTTTTATTTGATAGAATTTAGGTTTATTAAATCCTATTAACAAGAAATTGCGCTGAAATACACCTAAAATATTCTTAAAAAATACATGAATTTAGCTAATATTAATAGAAACACAAAAGAAGTCATACTAAAACAAAGCCCTGTTACTCCATAACGTCACAATCATTAGCATCATTTATTCAAATTCAGGCAGTAAATTACCCACTTTTCGATGTACAAGTTTTCTTGTGTGTGCCAAAACTATCACGGATTCCTCTGTGTGTCTGAGAACGATTTCTATTTTACTTCTTCACTGTTTAGGGTGAACTTAAAGTGGTCTAATGTCAAGAGCGTCTTGCTAGACGTAAAGTATGTTAAAAACACCGCAACGAGTGTGCTTGTCATCAAACTGCATCAGATACCAATTTCTATACAGAATAATCCTGAAATTATGAAGAGGCGTAAATCGCCACAGGCTTACATTTTCTACGGTTTTCATGATCTCATTAGTGTTGAAGAGCATATTAAGCATTGCTGGAGGGCTTCTGGGAGTACAAGCCTCAGCACATTCCAATTATCAAAGGATGAGGATGAGAGTAACGATATCCAAGAGGAAGCAACATCCATTGAGCTGGTCAACACACGGTCATCTTCGCAAGCTGAAAATTATTTAAGTACCTCTTCGTCTAAACCGATGAAGCACTATTCAATATCGAAGGTGCCAACCCTCACGGCATATCCGGGGTCTGATCTGCGGCCGTCGGCAGTTTTTACGAGCCAAATTTTATTTAGCCGTCGAAATGTTTCACCACAGGACCTTTCCGAAAAGATGCCTAGGCGTCAAGAGCAGGAGTTTATCTCAGTATTTCACAATTATGGGGTTATTTTATTGTCAAAGCTATTTCTCTGTTTGTACTTGATAATTTTTTTTCTAGTTTTCATCGCGGGGATTTATATATACTTCTCGACGCAAAGTGGGGGGCATAATCTATTTTTAGACACACAACACTTGTTTGAGGAGCTGGAGGTGACGAAGGAAAACTACAGAAGATTGAACAAGCACACATCCATTCGTGGCCAGAAGACAACACATAGCGATGTACTATTTCCCTTTAAAGACAGCAGCATATTGTTTAAATCGTTAGACAAGATTGTAGAAGCGCTACTCCGCAAGTATGTTAAATTACAATTAGAGATGATCGATCTAAAGCAGGGACATATGGAACGTTCACCTTTATTGACCCATGAATCAGAATCCAGAACATTGTTTCAGTCAAAGCAATTTTATGAGACCGATTCATCTGCGTTTATCACCAAAGATATCGCCAGTGTGAAATTAGTGCTCAGAACAGCCCATATTTATAAGAAGTCTCCTCAGCAGTTTATGCATACTCGTCTTAGAGGAGTTTTCCAGGGATGGTATTCGTCCTTAAGGAGCTTTCGTATTTTTTATCTGTTTAGTACGCACCAAGGAAGCCGCTTTCAGCGGGAGGAGGATCTTGACCCTTCAAAAGGGCGAGTGCGGTATACCGAATCATTTTTTAACGACTATGAGATCACGCAATATGTCTCACCTGAGGAAGCGAATGAAAGAATACAGTGCCTTCGAATTTCAAATGAGCTTCTCAAAATCAGTGATTTAATCGAAGAACTCTTTTTCCGTGTTAATTCCCTCTTCCTTCCTTGGAGCTACGAAGACTACCCTTTTAGCCCGGGAAAGCCGCAACATTGGAATGAGAGTGGGGCCACCAATGGCGTCCACACACCCTATAACTTCAAACGTGAGCTTTTCGACCCTTATTTTTCGACAGATGACATTTTACATATTATGTTTTTACGACGATATGCTGATATCGTTCGGTATCTGAATCCACTCGAGTCAAATGAGTACAAAAGACGAGAGGATGCCGCCGCTGCGGCCTATAAGGCTGTGCTACTGAAAGAGCACAAAGTAAAGCACTTAAACGGCATGAATCGTACCGTGAAGGATATTCTGTCTTTGTTTTCAAGCGTTGCAGTCGATGCTCCAACAGAATTCGGTGCGTTGAAGGATGGGGAAGGCATTAATATTGTTTTGGGAATGTTGCGCAACCTCCTGGCCGAGTTGCAATTCTGGGATAACGACAAGGACCTCTGGGACCTCCATCTCTTGACTTCTCTTACCAACGAACAAAAAAAACAATTTTTTAAGGCATTCCATACAGTACGCTCACAGACGCAGGCAACTGGTAACCACTCATCAGGATTAGCATCGGACTATCTGAAGAATGTTTTGGCGTCCGTTTCGAATTTTTCTCATTTGCGGTATCTTCCAATCTTCAAAGGGCAGTTGTGCTTTTCACAAAAGCCGAATTTATGGCCAACCGCTCCTAAGAAGTTTCCTCAATGCAGCACCTCAGTGAGGTTGCCTTATTCATTTTTGTTGAATACGTCATCATTAAGAAATCACACACAACACCGTTTTAATCATCTTGATGAGGAGGACTTACCGGGTGACGAAGCACCTTTAAAGAATGCGTACCACAATATTTACAATCCAAATCATGTGGATGCAATGGTTGTTATTCTGAAGGAAAGGTGGTTGGATGAACTAGCTGCGTTTTCTACGCTTTTCAAGTCCAAACTGGTAGGTTCTTCATATACTAGGAATTTTGCATATATGGACGCTGATACTGACGCATCTCGGGAGCTTTCCGCCTTGGCGATGCGTTTATTTAATATTTTTGATCGAATTGGCTACTGGTATATTACCCCACTATATCAAAGTCGACGCTTTTTTAAATGGCCGTCGTTTATATCTTTGATTATCCGATGGCTTTTTGGAACTTCACAGGTAGAATACGTAGAAGCCGCAGACCCCTTTGCGGAGTTAAGAAAGGCGCAGATTACGAAAATTCCATGGGGAAACAACAGTGACGTTCCGTTCCATATGATGCAAGACTTTCTTTTGCGCCCTCCTGGCCTTTTAAAAGCCAAAATACATTGTGAGAGGCAAGTTTTCGTTATTTGGGTTGTTGTGATAATTGGTGTTGTAGTGCAATGTATTGCCTTTTTGGTCCTTTAAAAAAACCTCATTGTTTTATGTAGAGCTTAGGTTACCCCATACACGACTCTGGTACTTTCGTGATTTTATTTATTAAAACGTGACTGAACTTATGTTGTTGATCTTTAATGCCTGCTTTTCATGATCATTAGACTTTACCACAGGACTGAACTATAAACATTCCATACATCATCAACACTATTTATTTCTATTTGTTATTATATTCTGTGCGTTGTTCATTTTTTCCCTTGCGTCTTTGTAGTGCATATTCCTCTACTATTTACTTAAATGCGTTTCTGTAATTTTGATTTCACTACTTTGTATAATTTTCAGAAGACTTACAACTGAGCTTATGTATGTCATTATGCTTTCTTGTCTTTTTTTTGTTTCGTTCTCTTTGGCAAAGCAAAAGCGAGTCTACTTGTGCGAAATGATTTCGTCTCTTGAAAACTGGGGTCAACTGAAGTTTACCACTTTTAATGAAGATTCTAAAAATAACGAAAAAAGTGACGCGACCTCCGACACGTTTTTGCAGCTGCTTTCCCTTCCAAAGGGAAAAGAAAAGGGATCCCCCCAATTTGTTTCCCGCCCTATCGTGAGTATCCCGATTTCGTCTATCGTCAGCGCATCCGGAACGACCAAAAATGACGTGAGTATTGTCATGCGTCCCAACACGTCCGCCACGGGGCCCAACAGCGGCCTGGAGTTGATATCCTTTCGCTTTGCGGTTCCCGATGTCTGCGTTGGATATGAACAAACCGAAGAGGCGGGAAAGGTCATCCTCGCGGAGCTGCAGGATCAAATGAAGGCCTATCAGCAGCAGTTTCTCAAGTCCCATCACCCTGGCAGCGAGGAGAACAATCTGCTGATCCTCGCCACGATGAATGGTACGAGTGGCACGTACAGCGATGAGGTGGTGGTGGCGATATTCGATGATGTCCAGCTATCCTATCCGTCTGGTAAGTATAAAATTATCATATCTAACTACAATGTCGTTCTAGAGGACAAAAAAAAGGGGACCACCAGTGGGATTCTTTCGTTTCCGATCACCAATCTTCAGCAATTGTATCTGTGCGACGTTCCCACGTATTTCTCCAGAGCTTCTTCGAACGACGTGGATTCGATGGTGCAATACGTCGTCCTTGTTCTCAAAAAACCTCTCAAAGTGCGGTCAACGACCTATACAAACCTTGTTATTTCTTGCCCGCCAAAATTTGTCTTGGACGAGGACCATCCCTGGCGGTGTGAACTCAAAACACAGAGCGAAATCAACACCCTGTTGGGCCTTACCGAGCAAGCAAACGAGGTGGACTATCCCTTAGTTCCTTCCATGTGTGGACGGGTTTGTGATATTATAGTGCGCACATTTAAAGCCATTTCCAAAGTCCCGGCGTATGGTGGGATCAATAAAGAATACACGACTATCCTTACTCAACACCTGCAGTCATGTATGCGTTGCCTATTTCACGGCGCGGAGGGGTTGCTTTATATTGTGAGTGGCGGATTTCTATTTTTGCACCGCCCGGCCACAAGAATTCCCTACAAGGAAGTGACAATGGTTAATTTAAACGAGTCTAATAGTGGCTCTGCGACGTTTCAAATTACAGTTTTTACGGCAAAGGACCGATACGTTTTCTCAGGCCTTGACAAGATTGAGAAGGATGGTCTAATGCAGTACCTTGGTAATAAAGTGAAGGTCCAGCGGATCGGGATGTCTGCTGAGGAAGAAGATGTGGACGATGACGATGACGATGACGATGACAATGACGATGAGGAGCTTGAGGAAGATGATGAGGAAGACGATTCGGACTCTGGAAAGAGTGATAGTGTCTTGGACGATAGCGAAACAAGAAGTCATAAACACCATCGAAAGGAGAAATCAGAAAAAAAGCATAGTAAGGATAAAAATAGCAGCAAACATAGAAAAAAAAAACACAAGCATCATCACAAAAAATAACCGCATTCTGTTACCGGGGTATGGGGCTAAATCAACTTGAGCTCTTTATCTCTACATCTTCATAGATGCATTTTTGTTGACTTCCGCTTGAAACCAACTCACAATGCAGCGGACGTGTTTTATTTAAGGAATATAAACTATTAAAAGTCTAAAATGCCCCTTTAATATGGTGACATGTGTGCGCGCGCCAAGTAAAAATATTTCAAGGAAGAAATATAAGAATATTTCTGTTGGCCGCTCTCAATGCTGATTTTGGAGTAGAACTGTGAGTTTTCTTTTAAAGGACTGTGACGTCATATTTAATTTAGAATTCGGGTGCATTGGAATGATTTATGCTTAATGATTTCTCTTCCAAATGCTTGTGACAGAAATTTCACTCAGCTTTAAGGTTTCATGAATCTTCTATTTTTCAAGCTAACACTTACATTAAAACTAGAGTGAAGTTTTCAATAGGGTTATAAATCAGACCTAGAAATGCAATAACAATCTCCCTTTCCGCCACTAAGATTCCATCTTTTCTCTATACGAGTAAATTTTGTGGACTCCTTTCTATCCTGTCGCTCAATTTTAAACAGTGTGGCATCGGGTAGCAATACTCGAAGCATGGGTGGTGGAGTTAAGCAAATTAATCGAATTCTACTAGGTGGTCTTTCACCTGTGAAACGGTACTTCTTTTTTTTTTTCAGCCCATCCAGAAGCCTCTTGGATGCGAAATCTGTTTACATGGGCTATCAAAAGGACAAAATGTACCCGATCATGTGGTCTCATCATTTAAGTTATCACACTAAAACTAGGATCTTAAAGATCAAGTATAAGAAGTTAAAGGCCAAAGACTTCAGCCCTCCGCATGAGTTCGATCTGCTGTGACTATCTTCAGGATTGGTTCTCAAAATGACAATCATGGCTAACCACCCGTTTCTTTTACTTGTGAAATTAGTGGCATTAAAGAATAATCAGGAGCAGGATCCGATCATAAATCTTAAATTTTAGCGTCAAACATATGGATGGAGATGAACTACATGATAATCTTTTAGTGGTAAGGCGATACCGTCAACTGGTAGAGAATCCGATACAGTTTTTCTCAGGAACGTGCCAATGTTGTGATCACATTTGGTAAATGTAACGAAAGTAAAAATGCTATCTTCTTAATATTTGCAAATAGATAATTTGTACTTACTACTTCTACGATACCATACAATTCCTTGTCATAGATTAACTTCTGTGAAGAAATTATGTCTTTTTTGATTAGGTTCAAAGCCTCCTTGTCATCCCAAGTATCACAGCGGGGATCGGGACGCGACATCAACACATACAACGTCTATTGGCACATTGCTGTGAACACTTTGAGCCCTTTTTTTCATTTCCCCACTATCCAGTGCAGAAGAGGTGGGGAGTTGGGAGGGTGCGACTGACTTCTCAGATATATTTGTACTTGGCAGCACACAAATTATTGCCTCTTTTATTGAGAATGATACACAACAGGCATTCATAAAGACACTGTATCATATAGGAGACTCTGGAACCCAGCTACAGATATATGCACAAACATATTAACAATATATTCCTGTATTCCTCGGTAACATCATCCATGTACTTGAACTAAATATACTTTTTAACACCGGTATCGCATTTCCTATTTTTGTTGTTGTTTCACATTCTGAGGTTCTGTATTACAAATCATTATCAATAATTTCTGAGTGTGCTTTGGTTGAGACTCACCTGTGAGTCAATAATTTGGTTTTTGGTGACCTAGAATACTTCTTAACAGTCGTCTCAGACATCTCCTTTTTCCCCCATGGGCTATAGTTTGCTGTTATTGAATAGATCCACTTCCCTTCGCTCATCTGCGTCCACATCTCCTCTTACTCCTTCAATTAGGTTACCTTTTGTTATAACACGTTGCTATAAATAACCCGAAAAAAAGGAACCGTCTTTTAACGGAAAGTGGCACTCCGCGATTGTTACAAAAAGGACTGATGTACGCCGTCTCTATTTCTTTAGGCGCCTGCAGCGCCTTTGTGGGGGTGACGTACCAAACAGGCACCGGCCCCTCGGCGTCGGTCAGCGTCGTGGCGAACGCGGCCGGCCGCCGCCGCACCCCCACCGTGGCCGCCCTGGCCGGGGAGTGGCTCTTCGGGGATAACGCCCTGCAGGTCTACCCCCGAAACCCCCACAGGGTCGTCCCGTATGTATTCCTTTACGCTGCGGCCGCCGCGGCCCTCCGCGGGGCCTCGCACCCTCCCGACGCCGAGATGGAAAACGCCGCGCGGTTGCTGTTGCGGTCGGTTGAAGGGGCATCGCGGGTAAAATTCTTGGCCCACTGCCCCGTGCAGGAGGAGCACGAGGAGGCGCTGGCCTCAGGCGAAGGCCCTCGCCTTGGGTTTTATTTCGAGAAGGAAAACGGCGAGGACGTCATCAAGGAATTCGTCTCAGCAGAGGACCTCTTTGTGGACTTTTTGAGCTATATTAAGGAGCACGTGATTGACGGCGCGTGTGGGCTGGCCTCTGCCGGTGGGGATCGTTCACGCAGTATTTTTCTCACGCTCACTGTCCCCCGTGGGGCTTTTCCGGCCGCGGCCTCCGCGGCGAGCTCTCCCGACCGTGAGTGCTCGCTGATGTGGCTCCGCAAGGCCGTTCGCGCCTCGACGCTGGGGGGCGTCTGCGGGCCCGTCTCGATTCTCTTTAACGATGAGTCATCCTTGTTTGCAGTGGAAGGCGCCCTGACCTCGACCTCCCCCCAGGCGAACTTCCTTGTTGTCGACTGGGGGGCCCACGGCCTGGCCCTCGATCACCTCCGCACGGCGGGGGGGCTGCGGGTGCGGCGGGGGGACCACGACAAAGAGGAGGAAGGGGAGGGGGGGGCCCACTTCTCCTCCTCCATCACCCCCGGCCTCGCCCTGCCGCAGTGCTGCGCAGGGGATTGGATCGACGCCGCGATGGCGGATTGCGTGGCCGCGCAGTTTATCCTGAAGAACAGCCGAATGTTCCCCATCCAGCTTACGGTGGCCCGTAAAGGAGTGCTGACGCGACGCTTAGCGAACTTCCTGGATGTTCAATGCGATCAGCAGAGTGCGGCGACCATTCTGGCAGAATGCATTCCAGCGCGTTCACTGAACCGTTTAAGGCTAGCTATCGAGGAGCGGAAAGTGGTACTTAGTACAAATCCAACTGCACACAGCTCGAGTGTCGAGGTGGAGGCATTTTATGAGGGTGTGGATCTTCAAGACAACCAAACGCTATCGAGGAATAAGTTCGAATCGGCGATAGGTAGTATCAATTCTTTAGCGGGCGTGTTCAACGGCATTCTTCATGAATTCACGGAACGTTTTGCGAAACAACTAAAGAATTACCCCATTAACTATGTTCTCCTTACAGGAGGAATGCACAATATCCCTGCAGTAGTGCAAATGGTTCAAAAAGCAATTCGCCATCCTACTTCACCCTCCGTTTCTGCATATTTTGATCTCCCGGCACTTCGGTTTCTTGACAATTCTGTTCTTGGGAATGGTATCGGTGCCGATGAGCTTGCGGCTGTCGGTGCTTGTTTTAACAGTTCCCAAATTGCCCTCCTTGATCTTCAGAAAGTTGATGTCCGAAGAAAGCTTTCAAAGCGAAATAAAAGGAAAAAAAAGAGCAAAGGATTGGGCACCATTGCACTTCAGGAGAGCGAAGAGTCTCTTTCCCGGATATGGTCGTCTCTATCCTTAGAAGACGGAGGTGAGGCTGAAGACGACGACGACAACCATGAACATACACATGTGAGGGTTCTCAAACACAATGTCTATGCGTTTGTTGGTGAAAACGCCGCTTTACGGTTTTCAAGCCTGACTTTACAGGGCAAGGAAACTGTAGAGCTGGGGACAAGTGAGCTATCTTGTCTTTTTCCCTACGGCACTCCTCTGCCATCCAGGGTGATCATAGGTCATGAAGCTTCAGAAGAGTCTCTGATTCTATACCTCTTTTCTGACCTTTCTGAAGAATTAAACTCAGGTGATGAACACTTTACAAGTATTCGGGTTCGACCAGTGTATCTGAAGGGTGTTGTGATTCCTCCTTTAGACGGGTCGATCTCTATCATTTTGACATTACGATGCACCCAGGACGGAGAGGGTGAGGAGCGAGTTTCATTGGTAGTGGCCACAACTCGGAAGGGCGTGGATGATCGCTCTACTCTCTTCACACCACACAACACAAACGAGTGTGCTGTAATATTGCTTTATTAATATTAAATTTACGTGTTTTAAACCGCTAAGATGCTCTAAAGACGTGTGTCAACTTAAAAAAAGAACCACAACAAAACAAATCTAACCTAATAATACTTGGAAGGATTTGTTGTTACACACGGTAGAGCTATTAAAATCTTCCCATTTTTCGTATCAATATGACTAGCACTTTTATTGTGCGGCTGTAACCCTTTCCTGCGTTATCTCAAAACTTCAACTGATCTCTTACCACTTTAGTCCTATTTCGTTTTCTAGTGTTCGAGCCCCTACAGGGCACGAAAAGGACATTATCAAAAGGATTTGATTGAATTAGTATTACGTCCTTTTTTTTCCTTTTATTCATAGAAAACAAAACTGCGATCGATAACTTCAGATTATGCGCCTTACAATTGATTTAATTAGAAAAGCTCCGCAGTTTAATAATGCAATTCTTCAGCGAGAGATCGATCTGCGTGGGTTATCCATTTCTTCACTTGATGAAAATGTTTTATTACTACTAGAGAATCGTTTTGATGTGGTCAATCTTACCTCAAACGTGTTGACTACCCTAGAGTTTTTTCCTCTAAGAAGCCTGCATGGTGCGAAGAAGCCAATTATGAATCGTGTGGTGACGTTGATTGCCCATCGAAACAAAATTCGGAAGGTTAGCGTTGGCTCTTGCGTGATGGCGCTGCCCAACGTCCGCCATTTTCTTGCCGATCGCAACAACTTTAGTGCAGTGAGAGATTTATACTTTTTGCGCTTTTGGCAGCAGCTGGAGATTGTTTCGTTGGAGGCGAATCCAGTATTAGATCGAAACACGGAAAACTACGACAAGCGGAAAATAAGATTGTTTGTGCTTTTCCTTTGTCCACGTCTGAAACTCATTAATTATTCACGCGTGACGCAGGAGGATCATCGAGAATGTGAGGGGAATCGGAAGGAGTTCAAAGCCCTTGTGGCCCAATGGGAGCGGGAATTGAATGGAACAGCCACTGACTTTGAGAGGGGCAAGAAAATCCGAAAGAGGGGAAGGGAGATGCGAGACGTCAATGCGGGTGGTGTGGGTGCTCCTATTAATACCAACGATTCCCTACCAGCGGTGGGCGGCAACCAGACCGACGCCGAAGAAGATGCAATGCCGATTACTACCGCAGATTCTGGAGTAAATAGGGAGGATACTGAGTACGAAACCTTGCAGAGACGTTTGGAGGAGCTAGAGGCTAAGATTCTCTCCGAGGACACGACGCCGGCAGAGATTAGTGCCATGGAACAAGAGTTTAATGAGATCACGATGGAGGTTGAGCGATCCAAGAAACGTCGTAAAAGCTAATATTAAAAAAAAAAAATCAGCAGGAAGTTTATCCCAGACGGTTTCACCACAATGCACAGAGGATAGGACTGACTTGCATTAGGTTAACTCATTTTAAAGGTTAATATATACGTGAAAGAGAGGGTAGTAGTTTCACAGGTTGAACGTGAGGAAAAAAGCAACCATCTTCTTCTCTCAGTTGTTGTTTTTTTATTAGTCGCACCAGAACTAGCTTGGTAAGATTTTTTTTCCCCTAAAGATTGATTGAAGCACCTTTTTACACCCATATTTATACTCAGAATGGGCCAGTGGATAGCATCTGCCTTGAGTTCCTTAATGGGAAAACAGGAAGTCCGCATCTTGATGGTGGGTCTGGATGCGGCGGGAAAGACCACGATTCTTTACAAGCTCAAGCTTGGTGAGGTCGTGACGACCATTCCTACCATCGGTTTTAATGTTGAGACGGTGGAGTACAAGAATTTGAAGTTCACGATGTGGGATGTTGGTGGCCAGGATAAGCTGCGTCGTCTTTGGCATTATTACTATCAGAACTCAAACGGCATTATTTTTGTTGTAGACAGTAACGATCGAGAGCGTATTGACTCAGCGAAAAGGGAGTTAGATAAGATGTTAATGGAAGACGAACTTCAGAAAGCGGTTCTACTTGTTTTCGCCAACAAGCAAGACTTGCCAAATGCCATGAACACAAACGAGGTCACGGATAAGCTTGGGCTGCATGCGCTTCGTCAGAGATCGTGGTATATCCAGGGCTGCTGTGCAACTACCGCTCAGGGACTGTACGAGGGTCTTGATTGGCTTTCCGCAAATATAAAAAAAGCAATGAAATAGAAAAAAATATTGCCTATCGCTGATATTACACAGGTATTATTTTGATTTATGGATTAATCCTATAAGGGCTTTCCTAGATAGAATGTATTTGTGTCTTTTTTTTCCTAAATTGGGATTTTAAGAGGTGATAAATCATGCATAATATTTTGTTCTTGGGCTTCAAGATGGTGCTATATCGGTGTCTGACATTATAAGTGACGTTTTTTAAAAAATTGGTTTAATTATTATTTTGAATGGTTGCAAACAAAAAAAAGTGTAGTGTGCTTCGCTAGATATGAGATTCCATAAAAAAAAGAATGCTTTTACCACCTTCAAAAAACATGTTTCTGAACAGAAGGAATTGTTTTTTCTTTTTTGAGATGAAAGAAGGGGTTAATTTACACCTGCCCTTAGAAGCATCACCAATATCATTTTGTCCGTTCACTTTCAATCTTTCCTTTGATATTGATTGTTCTTATACATACCTAAAAGTAATTGTCGACTCAAATGTTTACACAAACTATTCATAGTTCGGGTTATCAAATTATCTTTCCATCACTATTTCTTCACTAGTACTGTAAAGGATGCTACGCGTTACGTTTTCACGCCCATACTTCAAGACTACCGTAGCATGTGCGTGTAGTGACACACAAACCTTTTCCTTTTCCCAGCGTTTTGAGAAACTCTTGAAGGATCCTCAAAGCCCTTTAAATTCTCAAGAATATGTTTTAATGAGGGAATGTTTAACTAAGTACCGCACGTTACAACGAATTTATTCGGTAAAACAAACAGACATCGAGCGAGCACGTGCCGCAGCACACGTATGCGGTCTCGAATTCACAAAGCGACGACACCCTCCAGGCGCCGGCACCGGGACTCAATAGTTTCACGTAAAATCTACGCGTTACTTTTTATCGGGTTCTTTCATGGTTCAAAACCTCTTGACACGTGTTTGACGTCTTAGTCCAAGAAAGAATCAATTAACGTTTGATTAGTGTTAGATATACGGGAGGAGGGGGTGCCAGTAAATTTGAAAATTAGAGTTGCTTGCATTTTTTGCGTGTTGTGAAAGAAAAATGTTGTCTTCTTACATGCCTTTTTAAACCTGTCCATATATTTTTTGTGCGTGTGCATACACTCTTGAGATATGTTTCTTGGCAATATGTAACACGCACACTGAGTTTTATGTTCTGAAGTTATTAGTGGGAAGAGGCTATGTGTAACTCATTACCAATTTGAACGGTTATGCACTTTCTTTCGAGTGTTTCCATTCTATGCCTATTGACTAGCGTAAGTATATTTTAATATCCACCTATCTGTTTAAAGCCAATCTACATCTAGCCTATTTAAAAATAAATTATTGTTGCTGATCAATTTGGTTTGTGAATAATCTAATCTTACTCAAGTTCCATTAGTGTGATGTACCCATCTCAAATCCATCCTTGATTCTGCATTTTTTTTTCAGAAATATTCACATTTTCATTACATTCCGCTTCAAAACCTTTTAAAGCATAATATATACATAAACTTAGCTTTATAAAAAAAATCTATATATTTAATCATACTCCTTCGAATATGGGAAGCTGGTTTTCTTCTTTATTGAGCAAGAAAGAGGTCCGCATCTTGATGGTGGGTCTGGATGCGGCGGGAAAGACCACGATTCTTTACAAGCTCAAGCTTGGTGAGGTCGTGACGACCATTCCTACCATCGGTTTTAATGTTGAGACGGTGGAGTACAAGAATTTGAAGTTCACGATGTGGGATGTTGGTGGCCAGGATAAGCTGCGCCCCCTCTGGCGTCATTACTTTCAGAATACAAACGGCATTATTTTTGTTGTAGACAGTAACGATCGAGAGCGTATTGCCGCAGCGAGGAAGGAGTTAGATAAGATGTTAATGGAAGACGAACTTCAGAAAGCGGTTCTACTTGTTTTCGCCAACAAGCAAGACTTGCCAAATGCCATGAACACAAACGAGGTCACGGAGAAGCTTGGGCTGCATGCGCTTCGTCAAAGACATTGGTATATCCAGGGCTGCTGTGCAACTACCGCTCAGGGACTGTATGAGGGTCTTGATTGGCTTTCCGCAAATATTAAGAGACTTTCTCTTTGAATATTATTCTTATTTCTTTTTACTAGATTTGAGAACACTAAGCTTTTGATTTTTTTAAAATTAAGACAAGCCTCCTGGTCTCATTTATCGTGTCTTTTTTTTCTGTTATGTTTATAGCGATGTGGTACATATTTCATGAGTGTTGTGTCAAATTGGTTTTAAAGAATTTGTAGGTTTATCACGCAATGCAGCTTCTTTGCTGTTTGCATACGTAGTTGATTAATTAGGTGTTTATTAATAGTTTCTGTTTGCATCTATAGTTTTCCATGTCAACTGAGAAATCCGCCAAGGGATGTTCTGTTTCACTATTATTGCAGCTGAGTTATTATGATTATTTGCAGTGGATGGTTTCTTAAAATTTTAAAACTCTCCATCATATTGTCTAGAAAAAGTGAATTTGTTGTTGTACAAAATTTGCGTGTAGACTACTTTGGAGGAGTATAATGGAAGCGAGGTTGGTATCTTCTTGTTCAGCTAAATAATTTATAAGATATTCATTATCTTCAGTTGACTGTTGTCATTTTAAGACTTATTGAAGGGTTCTTCCTTATTGAAGGAAATTTAGAAAGATAAAGGAAAACAACCTCTTCGTTACACTGATCATCTTATATTGTCTCTCTCTTTATAATTCCTTAATGCATATCTATTTATATCGCCCAAATTTTGTCCATTATTAATTTTTGTATTACTTAAGTTAGGATTTATTTTCTAAGAAGGGAGTGAAAAAGTATCCCCCCACCTCCCTCAAAACAACAACAACGAACTATTCCCAATATTGCTCTCTTATTATCATCTACTTATATCTCGTAGTGATTTGCTATACTGTGAAGCGAACAAGAAAATCCTTTAATATCGTATTCGATGATATCGCCTAATGAATCGGGAAATGAGGACAATGTTTTCCCGATGTTACCAGGTTTTCTTCGAGACATAACGTCCATAAGGAAGAACAATGCTCAAATCCAGAATTTTGAGCGCATTTTTTTCAGAAACAGTCTTTATTCTGACGTTATTATGCAGTCTGAACAAACTAAGCTGAAAGGTGATGTCATTTGTCCTACAACCGCTGACACGCCTGACGGGCTCAAGGAAGACGTGATATCCTTAGCCTCAAATGGAAACAAAAATGAGCCACCTGATTTTCAGGTTCCCCCCAAAAGTCCGAATTCCGTAGCCCTCTCCGACGTTGACGATGTGATTCAACGGTTTGCACGGTGCGCAGAAGTCGAGATAATGTGTAAGGACATCGCGAAGGAGATTGTGGAGAGGAGTGCCGAACTCTATGCGGCGTGCTTGTTTGATGCGATGAAGTGCCTTTACACGTCTTTTTCCGTCTGGGATGAGCTGCGCGGGATGGTCGCACATTCCTTCCTCACACGCGACTGCCGTACGGGGGCCGCGTGCCCCTCCTCCCCCCTCCCGGCGGCCTCCTTTACCCTCCGCGCTGCGGACCAGCTCCACCTGGCGGCGAAGCGAGAGCGGAGGGGGAACGAGGACGCGGAGTGGCTCAACGCCGGGAGCCCCCCTCAGTTGATTCCCATGGATGAGTACTGCCGCTACGTCGTGGAGCGTCTCTTCCCCTCCTCCCGCCCGTCCCTGTCGGAGCGAAACACCAGTAAGCGGACCATATCCTATATTGCCACGCAAACTGGACCATCTAGCGTGCAAACTCATTCTCTTGCCAGTGGGGAGGGCATAGGTGGCAACAAAGTACTGGGCTTGAGTTCTGAATCTCCGGGGAGACACACTAGCCAAGAAAGTATTTTAAGTCTGAACCATGACGTTACCGATTCTCCTTCCGTTAACGTTAAAGAAAACTCGATGCGAACACGGAGAAGCGGTAGCTCTTCCTTCCGATTACGATCGGATAAGTCGAACAGTCAAGGTCCAATTACTGCAGCCAAATGGTCAGGAGATGGAACGATACGAATCGCTCCCTCGGTTCATGATAGGCCTACACCTCCTATCACCCATTCCGGGAAGGGCACCGCTGGAGCGTTTATTCGGCGTGTCCATGCTAAAAAACTTCCTAAGCTTGACAGTACTCATCCCAATAGGATCAAAGATAAACAGAAAGGTGTCAATTAGAAGCAGTCAAATTAAAAATTTTAGAACCCTTCACAATCAATCAATGGCCATTTTCCCTTTTAGCGAACCAATACGAGAAAAAATAGGCGCATCTTATCCTGTTTACTATGCAGCTTTAGATTCGATATAAGCATAAGTATTTGAGGGGAAAAATAAAAAATGTCTCTAAATGTTCTTTATTATTATGTGTAAATATCCAATACCATGTAAGCAAGCTAAACCTTAAGGTAGTTAAATCGGTTATTGATTCTCTTGAAGCGGTCGATATTGCATTTTTCTGCAATCTCCAATTTGTTGTGTTTTTATTACCCGGTAGAAAAATCTAACACTCTATCGTTGATGCGATTGAATATTTTCACCTTAAATTATCTTCCTCTTCTTTATTTTATTTTGAACGTTCCATTGCTGGAAAACCCAAGCAAAATCAAGAAATTGAACCAAACTAGGGAGAAGAGCCCTGAGGATTGGACTGAAAGTCTCTGGGGATATTTAAAAGAAATAAGAATTCGACGTAAAATAACCATAATAGTCAAATATTCCAATGGTTTCGCGTGCACAGCCCAAGTCTCTTGTCAAAAATTTAAAGAAAAAACATAGTAACCTCATTAGTACCAGTGACAAGGCCCATTTTCCTAATGGAGGTAAGCCTACTAAGACACGGATACCACATGAGTTTGATGAGGACATTGACGATGATTTAGCATTCGACAGCGATGATGAGAAACTGTATGGTCATTTTTTTCAGAGCCAGGAGAAAGAAAATCACTCAAAAGGCAAAAAAGTTGTGAAGAAGGGCAAGTCCTCTAAGAAAGCTAATCGTTCCAATGAAGATGAAACTGACTTTATGGAAGAACAGTTTGGCGCTCTTGAGAGGACGGAGGGCAAGATGACGAAACGGAAAAATGGGTCCTATGCTAATGGAGATGACGACTTGTATAACTACCATGAGGATGGTCAAAGTAGCGATGGGAGTGACTATATCGACCTTAGTGATATGCTAGACGCAAACCTCCAAGCCGAAGAGGAGGAAGAAGTTGAGAAAAAGAAGCAAAAGAAGCCTTCCAAAAAAAAGACAACAACACTTGCGGAGGATGGAACGCGGCAGATTGTCAAAAAGAAACGTGCGTCAAAGCTAACGGAGGAAAAAGAATCATTTTTCGGTTCGGCTGTCACTGGAGAAGATGGTGTTCCACAATCTTACTGTGCTGCTATTCAGCAATTTGTCAAAAAGAGCGAAAGAGGAAGCAAAGAAGAAGAGACCGCCCGGAATCGTCTTGAAGCGGCCTTGAGGAACAAGCACAATTTGCTAACCGTTGACCTGGAGGACCCTGAGAAGGAGCGTTTTGCTCGAAAAGAAGTGCGTTCTATTACGGAAGAAAATCTGTCGAAGTACAACCCGCTGCTGCAAGAGCTTAACAGAACTAAGCACCTTCAACTTCCCATGAGGGCACCGGAAAGAAACCCAATACCGTCTTCACTTGGTGGCATCGTGGCAGCCTCTGAGGTATTGTTCAGTGAGAAGACCTCTGAGACCGCCAATCCGGCCCAGAAACTGACCTCCAGAATGAATCAAGTCCTCTCACGTGCGGGCATTTCTCGCTGCCAGCTCGACAACGCGAATTCGCACGTCTCGACAAGTGACTCAATCGGCAATTACGTTCAATTTAGCAGCAGCGCCGATAATGAACTTGACGCCGAGGGCGGTGCAACTTCGGGCGCCCAACCCCCGTCTGTCGGGTATATGGCGAAGTTGAAAGCCATCCTAGCTTACGAGAACACGCGCCGAAAGCGCTTCAACCGGATCAAGAGCAAGGCCTACCGTCGCATCTTGCGCAAGGAGAAGGACCGCGAGAAGGAGCGTCGGGAAAAGGCCTTTGAGCTGCTGCACCCTGAGCGGGCGCGGGCGCGACTTACCGAGAAACTCGCCCGCGCCCGTGCGGCGGAGCGTGTGACACAGAAGCACAAGAACACCAGCACGTGGGTGAAGCACGCCAAGCGGTTTGCCCATATCGACACAGACGTGAAGGATGCGCTCAGTGAGCAGAACATGCTGCGGCAAAAGCTGATGCAGAAGATGGAGGAGGAGGCTGGGGAGGAGAACTACAACCGGTACATTGCAGGTGAAAATGGCGAGGCAGGGGATATGTCCAGTGAAGAGGAGCAGGTTGTCGACGAGTTGTTGGCTGAGATGACTGCCGATCCACAATCGTCTGCTCAAAAGAAGGAGCCTTTGACGAGCATTTTGTGGAAAGAGGTGGAGGACGCTGACGCCACTGGTGCGGAAAGTAGCCCAATCACTAAAGCTCGTTCGGAGTTACGCGAGATGAAGTTCATGAAGAATGCTCGCGAGCGTGAGGAAAAAGAGTACGCCGCCAAATTGGCATTATTGCAGGAGGACATTCGGCAACATCAAAACGCCACCAATAGCAATGACGATACTTCTGATGACGTTGGGGATGATGCTGATAAACAAGTGAACTCCGCACAGGGGAATGCTAGCCACAATAGGACAACGGAATCTATCGGGTTAAGCGGTTTCAGGAGAACATTTTCCGATCTTGCTAATTCAAAGCATCGTGTAGAGACGATTCGATTGAGAAAGCAAAAGGGGTTACAGCCCACGCTGATAGGAACCGAAGAGCAACCGTTGTCGGACATCTCTCCCGAAGAAGTAACTGAATCAAAAAAGGTAAGCATCAAACCCCATGATGAAGGGGCAGTGGCGGTGGGGGACGGGTTTGCTGGAAATCGGAAAAAGACCCAACAGTCTACTCGTCTCACGATAAAACCGGAGGCATTGAAGCGTGTACGTCCTACCAAACAGGAGGAATCTTATTCAGAAAAGGGGAAGCGAGCGCCTCCGGATTCCGATGACGCTGAGGCATTACCTTCTGAACCTGATGAGGACCTCCGTTTGCATCAGGAATACCTTGTCTCTCGAGCATTTGCACACGACGAAATTGATGAAGACTTTCTCAAAGAAAAAACCTCGCAAGTTGAGATGATCATGAAGCCTGAAGATGTGAATGAAAATTTGCCAGGTTGGGGTGAATGGGGCGGAACAGACCCCAAGCTGAACAAGTTTCACAAAGAAAAGCTTGAACATAGTGCAGTGCAAAGACAGATTGAAAAATCATTTCTGATGAAGAGCAGGGCTGATGCTGCATTGGACCACGTCATTATCAACCATGATGGGGTTGAGCTCGTGCCGGATCGAATGACACTTCACATGGTCCCACGACCGTTTTCCAACGCACAAGAGTTTGCTCGCTTTATGCGTCAGCCTTTAGGACCCGAATGGAGCTCCGCGCTGTCATTCAAAGAAGGTGTTCAACCACGCATTGAAGCACGTCAAGGACAGAGTGTCCTCCCACTAGATTTGAGTCTAAGGCGTAAGACGAATAAAACGAAGCGGAGGAAAATTGAAAATAAGGAGAATTAATGCAACGATTAATACAATCCATAATCTTTTCGAAGTAAATTTAATAAAACATTAGAGGTATGTTGCCTGTTTAACTAAAATAGTGTAAAAGAGTGTGCTGTAAATTGTTACATTTGTAGCTGCAGGTACCTTCGAACTACCACGGGGTGGTGAACTAGTATGGAGGAAATCTTCTTTCTTTAATAGACGAGTTCAAACACCTTTACTTTTTCCCTTTTCTCCTATACCTACTTCTTTTTTTTTCGCTTTTGAAATCTGACTATGGTGTAGAACACGTTTAGATATAAAAAAAATACATATATCTATTATAGATTTATTAGATCTATATTAGATATATTGAATATTAATATTTTTCCGAAATCGAAAATTGGTTATTACCATTTTTTTCTAAGCTTCGACAGACTGGGGTTCATTCTAAGGATTTCATTTTATTCAGATTGATTGTGTTCAGAAATTCACATACTCTGCTTGGGATGGTGGAATCTGCGGAAAGAGAAATTGCTTCTTTGTTGGCGGTGTTGTCATTCTCAGAAGATGAAACCGAAAAATGCCCTTTAGGAATCTTTGCACGCTCTTTACGAAGCCTTCTACAAGAAAAAGGAGGCGATGCTCTTACACTTTGTGATACAATTGCGGTGGAATCTATGGAATTATTAAAGGAGGAGGAGCGAATTATTGCAACAAAAAAAATGATCTCCCTTACTTATGACAAGCTAAAGGCTGAAGTTGCCAGACTTGAGGCACAGATGCGAGAGCAGGAAAGTCGTCTTAAAGAAGTTACCCAACAAAGGAAAATGTGTAGATTGGCACTAAATGCATTGGTTGCCGGGGACGTCCCTCGTTATGTAGATGCCAAAGCTGCGGCTGAAGTCCCTCCAGTTGAACCCCTGGTCATCATTGCAGACGGTAGTGATGAGAACCTCAAGGGCCATGATGAGGCAACTACACTTTCCGAAGTAGCTCCCGTAGTACACTTCTCGAAGAATACCGTCCTTTTGAAATCCCCTACCGCGACATCATCCAGAGTGATAGGGAAAGGCGCGAACAGGTGTTGGGCACCGGAGATGAATCAAACTGGTACTCGGGGACAGGGCGGAACAGGTTTTCAATCACCCAGTCTGCCTTCCTCAGCCGTAAACTCTACAAGCTTGCTGGTAACTCTGCGTCTTCCTGAACTGAAGGAAACTTCTTTATTGCATGCCATCGAGTCCTTCGAACTGCAAACCTTTACACAAGGCGATGACTGGATTTCTACAGAGAGGTACCCAGATATTTGTGCGCTACTTCTTGATTTGCTGAAGAATTTACCAGAATCGCGGCCGCCGGTACAGCTTGCGGAGCTGCGTTTACTTGAAAAGGTCTTTCAAACGGCACCTACAAGTAACGAACTACACAACCAAAACCTACTGGGAATGCTGGAAGCTCTCTTGACAAAGGGGCGTACGATTTTTGTTCTTATTAGTCTTCTGAACAGCGTCAATGACGATGTAAAATGCGCTGCACTTGAGTGTCTATCGTCTTTTGTATGCGGAACATACCCTTTTTTAACAGCCGGCTTTGTAGAAAGTGTTGGATTGTGCCAGCACGCCCGGCGCGAGTTTTTAGACTCTGATGGGTTAAAGCTTCTTATCCACATCGTGACTCTAAGTTCCTCGGAAGCGGTGATGGAATGTGCGCTACTCTTTCTTTGGGGTCTTCTCTCTAAAGATGACAGAACGGACAGCAACCACTTGGAGAGGAGGCCCGTCTGTTCAAGCGTAATTGCTCTCGGAGGTCTTTCCGCCGTGTTGGATTTGTTGTTTACTGACTCTTTGATTATCCTTGAGAATGTCTGCATGGTGATAGGCTACCTTACGCGCGATAATGCTTCCAAAAAAGAAATACGGGAAACTGGAGGTCTTGAAAAGCTAATTTCGACACTCCGCCATTTCTCAACCTCGATTAAGGCAAAGATAGCTGGAGCTATCTGGAATTGTGCGTCCGATGAAGATAATCGGAATAGTTTGCATAATCTTGGGGGAATCCCGGCGCTTCTGGGGCTTTTTGTGTTGAATAGCTCCGAGCGTGATGGAACTGCCGCACAGGAATTTCTTTTCGAAAATGTTGCTGGAGCGCTTTGGAACCTCAGCGTGGATAGCGAAAGCAAAAAGCAAATTGTGGCCTACGGAGGGATTCCTCTTTTAATAGAGGTCCTGACAGCCTCTAGTAGTCTGCCCGTTCTCGAGAACATCACTGGTACACTATGGAATTGCTCATCGTCAGTAGAGGTTCGCTCTGAAATATTCAAGTTTGGCGGTATCCCTCCCCTTTTATCCCTACTGAATGTTTGGAAGACGGACGCATCGGACTCAACAGTTTCTCATAAGCCTACACTGGCTGCAAAAACGATTCTTAGTGAGAAAGTTTTCGATAATGTCTCCGGAACACTGCGCAATTGTGTTCTGGAGGATCGATTTAAGCCTCTTATTTGTGAATCTGGAGGGATAAGGTTGCTACTTCACCATATCCAAAGAGCTACATTGGATGCCGAGGATACCTTAAGAGTGTCGCTGCCCATCAGCACTGTTGAGAAAATGGTCGCAACGCTTTGGGTTTTGACGACTTTGCCGGATAGCAAGATCGAAGTGGCTCATAACGGGGGAATCGAAATGCTTGTAAAAGTTCTGGAATCATCGTCACCGGTTTTAGCTGCTGTACAAAAGTTTCCTGACAAGGGAGGATCTTTATTCTCTTTGATCAAACCCCGTGAAAGAGAGCATCTTGAGTCTCCTAGTGACTTTTTTGAGGCATTTTTCTCCCCCGATGTGTTGCAGAAAATTCCATCCCTGTCTCCCATTGTTCCACTAAGTATGGGCATCCGAGAGATGATTGTCGGCGTGCTGCGGAACTGTAGTACCGTTTTAGAAAATCGAAAGAGGTTAGTTAATTGTGGTGCGGTTCGCTGCCTTATTTCGGTAGTGCTAGATTGCTATTCGTCGAAAATGGTATTTACCAATCAGAGTGTCCGACACAAAAATGTCAGCCGAGAAAAGGAGCCATCTATGCATCTGAAGGAATGTGTTTCTTCTGCGATTCGGTATCTTTCGCGTGAAGATAAGGTAGTGTTGCGAGAGCAAGGTGGCTTAGAGCTGATGTGCATGCTTCTGCTGACCCCCCTCGAGCCGGGCACTGTGCTTGAGCAGGCCGTTGGTGCCATTTCTTCACTCACGAGTAGTAATTTGGAAAATAAAGAAGCCATTCGTCAGTATGGAGGTCTTCATGCCTTGGTTCAAATGATCTCTAATTTAAACTCATCGGAATGCTTTTCCGAAAAAAAAACGCCTGGTAAAGATACTAAAATGGGTGTTAGTAATCGCAATGACTTTCTTTATAATGCTTTACTCACTATTCGCAATGTGACGCTTTCAAACAAGAAAAATATGAAGTACTGCGGTGAGGCGATCGTTACTGGTAAAGATGGCTTTGGGGACGTACTGCTTCATACCCTACAGCACGGCTCTGAGGAATGCGCTCGAGAGGTTGCTATGATAGTAAGGAACTTGTGCACTTTGCCAGGCATGGTGGGATGGTTTGAGTGTCATGACGTTAGCGCGATTTTGAACCAATTGTCTGAAAGTGTTTCCTCAGATTCCGTTCGGCGAGCAATCAACAATGCTAAGCACACGATTTTTCAAACATTACAATAACTTTTATATCCTTTTAGTTTATTACACTTATACACTTCGGGACATATTATACTCCGGACATACAAAAAATAGTATTTGTTTTCGAAGGGCATATATTGTGCTCATCGTTTATACACTATATATCTATAGAAAAGTTCCGTTTATATTTTCCTAGTCGCTCACATGCTCTTATTCCGAGCAAAGGTAAGTACATAAAGTGTATGATCCAACGTTATATTTACCTTTATAAGTGTTTCATTTAAGTTTGCTCCGAGGAACGGTGGAAACCTTGATTTTATCTAAATTTATGTTTTTGAAAAATGTGTTCTAGATATTGATGTAAATTCACGGGACAATTGATGAAACACGCGCTTGGTATACTCCTTTTCAAAATTTCAGTCTAGTTAGCTTAGATTAAACCCAAAAGGGAACTACAAGGAGTTTCATTTATACAACTTTTCTTACAGAGCGATAAAACAAATTTTTACAATAAAAACCCAACAAGAAAGAAAACCTGCATTTTACACCATTCCATGGCGTCACAACCTGCTCCGCAGAACCCTCCCCAAGAAAGCGGGCTAACTTTTGTGGTTCTTAATAGTCATGAGGACCACTTACCATCGGTAAATTATATTCGTTTTGTAGCTCACTCTATGAACTCTGAGGGCAAGGGTGTTCGAACTGACTTTGCTGTTCACAAGCGTGCTGCACGTTTTTGTCGATTGTTGGATTCCATTCTTGATGTGGCGGATTTAAGCAGCCAGACCAAGCCGGATCTCGTATCTGGCCCTATCCCACCGGTCACTCTAAGCCAAGCAACCAGAGAAGGCTGCGAGATAGTTTTTGAATATTTAGACTTGGTGCAAACCCGAATGCCAACGAACATTAGCAAACCGCTTAGGGCGCCATTGGAGGAGTTGATACAACCTTGGGAAATGAGTTTTCTTTTAGGTAAATGTTTTGGAAATGTAAATGTGGAGGAAAGCACCGAGTTTAAAACTTCCACTTTCTTCAAAACCGTTTTAAAGAAGGGTCCAAAGTCCATGAACCGCATTTTGGAGATTGCTATGCTGAGTGATTTTTTATTGATAGAGCCTTTAAGAAACTTGACATGTGCCTTCTTGGCATCGCTCGGACTTTCGGCTCCTAACGAAGATGAATTGCTGAAATTTTGTGGCTTGGATGCTCAATTGTCTGAAGAAGACCTTGAGTCTGTCTATTTACAATTAGCGTTTTTGCGCTACCGCTGACGAGCAGTCGAATCGTGCCTGTTTATTATTGATTCATTTTCTATCAAAAGTAGCTGATATTGTTTACCTTTCCACGCATTTATTACTCAGAGGTCTACAATTATAGCTTGTTTTAATTTAATAGCTTATGCTTCTCTGCATTTGAACTTCACTCATATTCTATCTTCTTTTTTCCTTTCCTTTTACTCAAGCAAAAAAAAAGCTGTGAAACTAGTTCAATATTTTACCTTCTTGATTTTGATGTAAGTTGCATTTTTATTTAGACTTTTCGAATTCATTATTTTATTTAGCCATATCTCTATATATCTCTATATATATCTATATATATAGATATATATATATATACCTATTTATATTATTTTTCCAGACGCTACTAACCTAACTTGTTCAATGCGAGCAACACTGTTTCAAGAAGACTCGGGATGCCTAGGTTCGGATGGGACCCTCGAAGAGGGGGATTTCACGGTGGACAATAGTAGTAGTACCTCAACAGCTGGCCCATTTACGGAGACCCCGCACGGCGTGGATCGTCTGACGCGTTTGTGGAACCTGGAGATTACGAACGTGTGCCGAAGTGAGGGGACCTCGCCGGCCAGCTCAACCGTCACACGTAATCTGGCGGGACGGATCGGTCATCCCCGGCTGACATCCCCGGGCAGTAAAATTGGCACCTCCATCCCGAGTCTCCGACACAGCCAAACGATAAGCAACACAAGCACCTGTGTCTCACCCGTCGGCAGCAGCGTCCCAAGGGAGTGGGGGAAGTCTTTTCGGCTCTTTAACACCAGCCGTTGCTTTGGGAGTACGTGTGGACTATGGGTGCGGGAGAGCATCCATATGCATCGCTCTAATTTAATGAACACCTTTTATGGGAAACCGGGACTCGATAATGACAGAAGCCCACATACCTCTCCACATGGCAAACATAATGGAACTTCCAGCTGTGGATCGCCCTGTCTGTCGTACTACGGCAACACGTCATCCTTTGATATTCTGCGTGGATCAAGTATCGTTTCATTCTATACGAACGTGATCAATAGCCCTGGAATGAATTCCCATGATCTGACACCATCCATATCTCCTCAAAGCCCATTGCGCCACACGGGCATTCCTACTATTCTTGTCTTAGCCAAATATGCTACAGGAGGGGGACAGTTGTTGGAATCTTCACTTTTAAGATTTCAAAAAGAGCTCCCCACTTTGTTATCCGTTTTGCGAACTTTTCTTGCGTTAAATGGTGAAACCATTATTGTGAGTGACAATGATCATCGTGTTGAAATTAAACGTGGTGGCATTATAGGTGTAGGTGGGTTTGCCAAAGTGTATGTTGGAGTAAACACTGTCAAGGGTGAACTTGTAGCCATAAAGGAAATTAAAATGGATGATGTCGACGATGTCAAAGCTTTAAAAATCGTAGAGAAAGAATTTGCCTTGTTAAAATCGCTTAGACATCCCAATATCGTCAATTATCACTTTTTTGAGCACAGTCGATCACAGAAAGTGTGCCGTATAGTCATGGAGCTGCTCGCTGGGGACTCTATGCTACAGCTCTTGCAGCGGTACAGGCCTCTCAAGGAAACCGTTTTGCGTAAATTAGCACGTGATTTGCTATCTGCCATTAATTATATTCACAGAAATGGTATCTTTCATCGTGATATTAAACCCGCAAATATTTTGATCGATCACCATGGGAAGGTTAAACTCTGCGACTTTGGTTCTGCTAAGCGCGTTTTCGAGATCAGTAGGCCCACCAGCTGTATTATTGGCACGCCTGTGTACATGTCTCCTGAACTTATCAAAGGGGAAGCAGATCACAAGGCTGACATTTGGTCTTTTGCGTGTTCGCTCTTTGAGATGGGGACTGGGTTGTCACCTTGGCACCACTCGGGGGTGAAGGATAACTTGCCCCTTATGTTTTACATCATTACAACTTCCGAGACTCCACTGGCTTCCTTTTCACGTGGAACTGGGTGTGATTTTTCGCTCGAATTCTTAAATTTTCTCGAACTCTGCTTCACACGAGATCCCGAACGACGACCCGACGCTGAGGAGTTGCTAGGTCATTCCTGGCTTAGCAACAATGGCAGCAGCTCGGTCGATATGACGACCGTAATGCTATCGGATCGATTGTCCCCTCCCACCGCTGGGGCCGGCGTGCACGTCGTCGATGGAGTCATCCCACAGCTCCAGACATTCAACACGTTTGGTACGAGGACACCAAGACAGCGCTCCAGTTTATTCTTTGATAGGACTTTTACCGGGGACAATTTCTCCAATAGTGACCGAGATATTGAGATCAAGTCCGCGGCCTCCACACAGACCGGTGCGCCTTTTGAGGAAGAAATCCTCTGCCAGCACGAATTAGAGGAAATTGCCGCTATCATTGCTGTCGAACGGTGCACAAGACTGATGGTTTCACCAGAGTTGGGAGCGCGTTCTCATGACCGTGTCCTGCCGGAAGTAAGTGGTGGCACTAGGGAGAATAGCTTGGTATTCCCAAGGAACATTTCGGTTACCCCATCATCATCCAGCCAACGTGGGTATGTCGGTGCCAGTATAGACTTTCCATCCTCCGTCTTCTCACCTGAGCATTCGATTGTGCATGAGAACTTCCATTTTAACTACACCCAGCTAGGGCAATCTGCCGGTAATTTTTTCTTGCCCAATGACGTGCCTGAGTTTGCCTTTCAACAGTATTTGCGTATTAACGATTTTGGCAACTTGGAATTCGCAAACGTGACCGAGTACGATAACAATATACAAATGGAAAGCAGTGTTCTCCTACCGCGATCTACTAGTGGCGATACCAGTCCTTTCTCCATTAGCTATAATAGTCGCTTTATTAACCCTTTACACAGCGGTTCATTAAGCTGGCGAAGTACCACGCCCACTCCAGGGGAACGTCAGCTTGCGTCTCCCAAGAATACAGGTTCTATTCTTACCATGGCACCCCGTAGTGAGTCTCCGTTTTTGCACAACACAAACATGCATTCACACACTTGTCTACCCACCTCATCCATACCTTTACTCACGAGACCGAATGGACTCGCTCGTGCGGTGTCTTCAACGCCCTCGGGAACCTACTTGACCAATCTCAACAGTGAGGATCTCTCCCAGCTGCATTCCCCGCTATCAATAGCCTCCCAGCGAAAATTCCCCCTTGTCATGCTCTACGAAAAAGTCAAGCCTCAAGCCGATGGAAAGCTACACATGTCGTTCTGCGTCAACACAGCCCATGGCGATGAGATGAACGTCGAACTAAAAGTCGATGTCAATAATGTTCATTGTAAGATGATTGACAATCAGCCGAACTTCTTTATAGCCTTTAGTGACAGCATCAAGGAACAAATTACGCTAAAGCTAAGGGAAGCCGCACAGTCTTCGGAGGAAGCACCTTTTCACGGATCAAGTCGTGCCTCGACACCTTATGGCACCACTAGCTACAGTGTGCATTCTAATTAGTCCTCAGCGTGGGGTTCGAACGTTCGCTTTTCAAACATCTTTTCATATAAAAGTTGTAAGGGGCAGACTTCGTCTGCGTTTTTTTCGAAGTTTTTGCCTACTCAATATTTCCAGAGGTCAATGCACCTTGGAGATCTGAATTCACCTGAAAGCGAGATATCCAAAAGTCCCTTATTTTTGTTATTTCAGTGGTGGCAAAATGAATTGAATACATGCTTTAAGGACACGAAAGATTCGTCATTACCTGTACTCATTTCTTCAAATAATTGAGATTAATTGCTATTGAGGTGAAATGCTATTGGTGTTACGTAATGCGTCGTCTTTTAAAGTTGATACTTTTCCCTTCAAACACTTGATCTCTCGGCAATCTTGTCAATGTAAATCTAACTAATGAAAAAATTATGATGTTATGTAGTCATTGATATTGGTCATTATGCAAGTACGTATAGTTGTAGTACCTTTTTAGCTGCAAAACATTAGTGTTGACTGGTAACACGATTGCGTTTTTTTTTTGTGATCAATCTTTCTGAATAAAAAGTATCAGAATCGTGTTGCGATTTTGTATTTCATCATTTTCCTTTCCTTAACTAGCACAATTACTTGTGCTAATATTTATTTGAATGTAATATTTAATCTTGATCGTTATCTAGTGATAGCGAACACAATGATGGAATTCGAAAATTTAGAACCTGCTCCCCTTATCTTTTATTCACACACACACACAACAACAACAACAAAGCCCTAGTATGATCCCTTATTTTGACTGATATCATTCATATATATAGAGAGAGAGATATATAGATAAATAGATAGATCAATTTAAAACAAATGGATTCCTTATTCGCGGGGTCCATGGCTGGCATCTGCGTAGATCTAATCTTATATCCTATAGACACACTCAAGACACGTATTCAATCAAAGAAGGGCTTCCTGGCGTCTGGAGGACTATCCAACATCTACAAAGGTCTCAGTGCAGTGGCTATTGGTTCGGTGCCAGGGGGGGGGGCTTTTTTTACCGTTTACGATACCACAAAACGCCAACTGTTTGGACTTCACCGCGAATATGTTTCAAGCTCAGAATCTTCAGGCTTCAGCGCTGGTGTTTATGCTTGTCAGGCGGTGGCGGCGATGTGCGGAGAGAGTAGCGCGTGCTGCGTGCGTACGCCGGTGGAAATGATCAAACAACGGATGCAAGTGGGACATCATAAAAGCATCATCGCGGCTCTGCGATCAATCACTAATAATATCAATATCACGGATACTTTTAGTCAGGATCGGGTGGCTAGTGGTCATATACCGGTTCGTATCAAAGGTCTTCATTACCTGTTCTCAGGGATGCCGATCATGCTTATGCGTGAGTTACCCTTTTCTGTTATTCAAATGTCTCTATACGAATACTTAAAGTATCAATTGGCCCAGAAAAAAATATCTGATCTCTATCAAATAGTTGGGTTACCGCTTTGTGGAGCGTTTAGTGGCGGTTGTGCTGCCTTTTTAACGACCCCGCTGGATGTTATCAAGACGAGAATTATGCTTCAGCCAACGCAAATCCGGGGTAAGGGTAGAATAGAGCATGTCATAAGAGATCTAGCAACCGAACCAGCGCGCCCGGGCGATCGTTTTGGGATTATCCAAAGGTTTTTCCGAGGTGCCTCAGCTCGGGTTCTTTGGATTTCTATGGGTGGAAGCATATTTTTCGGCACCTATGAGCTTTTTATGCGTTTTTCTTTGGTACGTGCCTATTGATGTCTTTAATGATTCTTTTCATTGGTTTAATAATAGCTGAATTATGGGGTTTTTATATTGTTATTTTAAGTACAAGAATTCGGATGCAAATCAATGACACTTGATTTGGGCCATCTTTGTTTATATTCTCCCAAAAGGAGGGTAAAAATAATGGGACATCAATCGATTCATTTAGTCAAAAAAAAACTATTCAAAAGCTCTAGTTGTTGCCACTTTTCCCTTATCCTTTCTTTATTGATATCTTTAACTCTTTCCATTTTGCCTTTTCCGTATTGTTTTCCAAATTATAATGCAATGGCAAACAGGTTTGATATCTTATCGTCAGGTTCTGAATATACTTTGTTTTTCCCGATGAATAACGATGAAGGTTACGTATACACAGTTCCGCCGAAAGAATATCCTGGTAGTCAAGTGATTGGAAAGCGAAAAAATTTGATACTTGACTTGGACAATACTTTAATTTGTGCTTTTATTCGAAAGCCAAATAGTTTTAACTTAACTGACAAAAGGTGGATTTACCACGAGATTAGAACCGAAAATGAACTAAGTCAGTATTACATCTTACTTAGACCGGGTTTGAAGGAATTCTTAACAGAATGCGCGGTGCATTATAACTTGCTAATTTTCACAGCAGCCGATCGTGAGTATGCTGAACCTATTTTGAATCTTTTGTGCCCTCAAATCCATCCTGAGAGGCGCTTTTATCGTGGTTCCTGCGTTAAGATTGATGACACATACATTAAAGATCTTCGTAAGCTTGAAAATTTTAGATTTAATGAACGATCAACATTCCTATTCGACGATCATGCACCAGATAACATGGTGCCGCATGCAAATGGTATGTTTTGTAGTCGATTTGCCCCCGATGATGAGCAAGACAACAGTGATGAGACAATCGATAAACTATCGTCTGAAACAACCTCGCTGCTGCCATTTGCAACACTTTTTCGCCATCCATTGTTTCTAGATGCCGAAGATGTTAGAGTTCCTCTTGCTCAATATGCTCAAACCCTTCAACAAAAAATTGAGATCATCAAATCCGATTCCTTGTGTAGTGGTGGAAGCTATGACGGAGGTCACTATACCTTTTCTTTATGATAAATTTGATCACCATGGCTACCGCTACAGCATCGCTTTTGCTTTCAGATGTTAACATTTCTATCATTCAGACTGGTCACACTGTCCTTTTTTTCCTTGTTAAATAATCTCCTTATCTTCAACGACGTAGCACCAAAAACACAGTTTTTATCAGCGTTTTTTTCTCTACCCCACCTCATCGTCTCTCCGCTGTGTAAATGTATCTTCCATCTGCTGTTTCGTTTAATGAATTTTTCTTTCTGTTAGAAGTTGCGAATTTTATTCATGCAAAACGAAACAAAAGTAATAGTTTATCGGTTAGGCATAAATGTAATTTTTTGAAAACAGAGGAAGAGCGCAGCTTCATTACGTTTTCCGAGTAGCAGTCGTTTGCGATACAACTCGTTAACTTGTTTAAACGGAACCAACCATCAAGTTGTATTTATTTAGAAAAAATTTTTGTCAGCTAGCATTTTTCGGGCGTCTCTTTTCTGTCGAGTTAAAGATAATACGAATGACGGTACACATTTTTTCTTTTATTAGTCACAAACACGTGTATTTTTCTAGGCCACATCCTTTTGTATAATTCCTTTTTATATAAAAGGCTAGCTTGAGGTCTGAATATTCCGCGTTTTCTTTTATTCAATCCTTTTGTTTACTGACTATTGAAATGTATGCATCCCTTTATCCCCTAAGAAGGTCTGGCGAAATTCTTTCAGCCTTGTTATTAAGTGTTCTATAGTCATATCATTCAATATTCTGTATTTAATAAAAAGACAATAATAAAGTAAAATACATGACTTGTTTCATCGTGTAAACGTGCCTGATTACACAAACGTTGCTTGTCATACGTTTCATTCTATTATGCTTCTCTCAGGATGGTTATTCAAATTATTATATTTTTATAGTTTTTTTTCTGTGAATTCTTTGCTAGTGGCATCCCATTTATTGTTAGTACTGAAGGCATTTTATTGTTTATTTTTATTATTATTATTTTTTATAAAAATACAGTTGAATACCTTTTTACTTTTAGTATTGAGTTCATTCTATTTGTTTTGGCAATAAAATTCAAATAAGCCATCCCTATTATTTTTATTTTCAATAATGGATAATTGTGTAGATTTTGAAGATGTTATACTTAAAAAAAATGTTTCCAAAAGGGAGACCTCGATGACGCCCATGGTTGAGCTTCTTTACGATAAAGCTAGCTGCGGAATTATGCATCCGCTATTTGTTTATTTATTTTGGTTACTTATTTGTTGCTATTTTCAGAATGAGATGGGATGAGAAAGAGAGAGAAGGAGAGGATGTTGCTGAGGAACAAAAACCTATATAAAAACTCCTGTGATATTGTCTGGGTCACATCGCTACCGAAAATAACAAAATTAATGGGTCCAATGTTTTCCACAGCGTTTGATACGCCATAAAAATATTCACCAGATTTTCAAAAAGTTATATAAGAATAGCATGTAATATGGTGGTATTAATGGATACTGAGGGAAAAAGGAAAACTTTTTCTCTCTAAGATGAAGATAAAATAATTCGATAGCTCCAGATTGACAAAGCTCCTTCTATTTAGCTGTTTCACAAATATTTATAACAATACATCAATATGGTAAATAACAGAAAATATTTCACTCAATTAACGTCTAAACCGAAAATTCAATACTGCATCGATCTTTCTGCGTTACCTGTGCAGAACGGCAATGAATATTCCTTTGATGTTTCTTGAAATCTGCATAACTGAATTCCTACATTAGCAACAACAACAATAACGACGAATCATTTCTGGGCCTTCTCCTTCCCGAAATGTTTTCATTTATTTAGTAGCTTTGGAATCTGCCTTCCTTGGTGCCGATATGGTATTACTCTGATTATGATGCATCCATGGAACCATATGATACAAATGACTGGCTACCGATAAAAGACAGGATGCCAAAAATTTAAAAGGGGAGGTGACCCTCTTAAAGTTTCCAATAAAAACTTTTTTTTGGGTAAATTTTAGTTTTATTGTTCAGACTATATCCGCCTGCACAGTGTTTTATAAGGCAGCATCACCATGTTCAAGCTTTTTCTCCTTTGGAGGGGGGGGGGCTTGCTGCGGAATGAGAATTTTGTGAGGGATACTTCTATGCTTTCTCTAACTCAGAAAAATATGTAAACAGGTAACACACCTCTGTTCTACTTTTAGCGTAAATTATGGTCATAAAGGTGTTGAATATCAAACTATCTATTTATCTATTTTCTAAAGTTTGATAAATAGACGGTTGGTGCATTTTTTTTCGATTAGACTGAGATAACATATTCACAAATCGCAAACTACTTGGTTGTATGAATTACCCGCATAGTGTAAGGTAAGTTAAAGATTTAGTGTTGAGACTTGCTTAAAAGTGTCATTTAGTATTCACATAAAATGTATCGCTAGTGGTGGTAAACGTTTCAAAGTGGAATTTCCATTCTGAACGACACCCTTTACAAATGTAGCATTTTTTTTTCCTACCCCCTGCATAAAATTAAAGGGCATATTTTTATTTCGCGAGGAGTCGTACACAAACCATGCGTTGGTTAATTTTCTTGATTCTCTGTTCCTAAATACGGCGAAGGGTCGTTGGGCCTTGGCATCAAGGCCTTCTTAGGATAATTTTAATACTCTCCCAATACCGCATTGGGACAACCTCTACACCGATAATCCCTTTCCCTCTCCGAGTAGCCTTTAAGGAAGGTTTATCATTCCTTATTCTTTCTCTTTCCCNCCCACCC